AGGCTGTTGCTGGGCAGTTCCAAGGGTAAACCCTGCTTGTGTTTGCTGAGGAGCAATCTCATCAATGTCACCACCAGCTTCTTCCTCGTCAGAGAAGTACTTCTCAATGATGTTGTATGCCTTCATGTAGATCTCCTCATTGGCGTTGTTCTGGCAATCGTGGATCTTTTCCATACCGCCTGCCTCTTCAATAAACAGGGCGTAGCGGTTGACATGAGCGTCACCAGTCTGGGCAGTCTCCTTGTCCATCTCGCCAACCTTGAGGATGTTCTCCAAGCCATCGAGAGCAACCTGGATGATCTTGTTGTCAGGACAAGCAAGAAGGTCGCAGAGGGGCTTGATGCATCCTTGAGAGACAAGGTAGCGGATCTGGTCGGGCTTTTGCAGACCACCGGACGTGGCGTTGGAGATGGCCCAGCAGGCTTCCTTGCGGGTCTTGAAGTCACCATTGGCAAGCAAGTTGATCAATGGGGGGATGATGCCAGCATCGACAACAGCCTGAATCTGGCTGGAGTTACCGGCGGTCACGTTGGAAATGGTCCAGCATGCCTCCTTGCGGATACCATCCTTTGTCGAGCTCAAGAGAGAGAGAAGAGCAGGGAGAGAGCCGCAGTTGATGATCACCTGAGTTTGGACATCGTCACCGGTCACAATGTTACCAACGGAACGGAGGGCGGGGGTCTGGACGGAGGTAGAGGCGTGCATGAGGAGTTCCACCAGGCGACGAGGAATGCCGGCTTCGATAACGGCCTGGATCTTGTCGTTGGCGCCGTCAGACAGGTAGGAGATAGCCCAGCATGCGTCAATCAACACTTCATCGTCAAGCATGTAAATGAGTTTGGCAAGGACGGGGAGAGCAGGGGCAATCTGTGCAGGCATATCATGTTAACAATAGGCCCTCTTTTCTAGGCGAGAATGTTCTCAAAAGGTGTAGGTATACGTACAGTGTTCCAGTCAGGCTGCGGTGTCTTTCCGCGGCAGAAGTTGCTTAGAGTCCATGTCGCGTTGCGGAGCATGCTCAGCTTGCGGCCATCGCTGATGAGGGTCAACAAAGGACGGAGGGCACCGGCACCAAGAACAAAGTCACGGCATTGAGGACTGTCACCAGCAATGTTACCCAATGCCCAAACTGCCTGTTCCCTAACATCGGGTTCAGGGCTGCTCAAAAGCTCGACGAAGATAGGCACAGCACCAGCTTCGATAACAACCTGGGTCTGCTGGGCAGATCCGGAGGCAATGTTGGTCAAAGCCCAAGCAGCCTCGAACTGAACCAAAGTATGTGCGGACCGGAGAAATTCCACGAAACGGCTCACGACACCTGTCTCGATAACACGCTCGATGGGAGGGTTGCGCTCCTTGGAGAGCAGCTTCCTGAACTTGGTTGTGCAGGAAATCTGTGACTCAATCTGGTTGGAGAAGACACCCTTGACCATCTCCGGAAGTTCCACATTGAGCTACAAAACATATAATTAACCAATCTATCCTTGTAAACAAACATGTTTGCCTGACACGACATATCCTTCGGATGATCGCGTGCCTTCACGACGCGAACAAACTGGGACATGCAGGGGAAAAAAAAAAAGAGACAAGAGGGCGGTGAAAAAGTTCGTTGTTGGGGAATATGGTAAACAACTCGCAAAGACCCTTGGAAAAGAAGGGTAATAGGAGACAACGAAGAGAACAAGATTACCAGAATAAGGAAAAATAGCACATACCTCACTCTCGATGGCACTGGCTTCATCGTCGCTCTCAGTGGCGGCCACGCCGCCCCCAACACCAATTCCGCCATCCCGGGTCTGAATACCTCTCCTCTTGGACAGGTTCTCCTCTCTCTTTTGCTTCCGAATCTCAACCTGTTGCTCTTCACGACGACGACGGAGTTCTTCGGGCCGGAACTGGTTTCTGGCCTTGAACTGGGTGCGACGATGCTCGGGGATGTAACGCTCCGCCATGATTGCTTAGGACAGAGGGGTGGAAAACAAAGCTTTTAAGTAGTGGTGAAACGAAGGGAGTGGTAGGGAAGATAAAAGTATAAGCAACAGGTCAACCCAGCCAGTAAAAGGAAGGCCAACAGAAAAGTATGCGATGACAGGTGAAGAAAACGCGAAGGTCTCTCTCTCTGGGCTGAAGCGAGCTCAAAGGAGGGGAAAAAATCATGTGGGATTTCCGCCGGTCACGGGATATATCCCCGCTGATTGGCTGCTTGCGGTAGACGCAATACCCGCCCAAGCGATTGGCGTCAAACGCGTTTTGGTCGATCGTATATGGCAGGTCCTTATTTTCCACGACAACAACGCTGGGAATATTTATTTTGAGAGTGTCATGCTGCTGTGTTGTTAGATATACCGTGAAATGGGTTCTGATCAATGATTGTCGATTAAATTGACCCTGGTTCGGGAAGCTACACGTGATATTCCTGTTCGCGGACACTACTCTGGATTTCGGGGTGATTACTACGATTTGCCAGTATCCAGTCAGGAAAGGGCGTTTTTTTATGCTCTTTTAAATATATCCCTGGCCGTTTGCATCATTATCTCATCTCTTCTGAATGTGAGCAATGGTGCCGCCAGGCTACGTCGATATTACCACGGCCCTATACTCCAGAGGCTCTGTGAACGTGATTGGGGTTGTTGTCGATGTCTTTGGAGATGTCTTCAGAACAGGTGGTTCGTCCGTATGCATTACATTCACCTTAAAAGACACAAATCTGGAAAACGGGCATTCTTGGGACGGACTGAAAATCAAATATTTCAACGATGATCGAGCATCATTACCTCCGGTCAAAGAGCGCGACGTTGTGGTCTTACAAGATCTCCGGGTAAACTGATGCTCATAACACTTTTGTTATTACACGTGCTGACTCTTTACTCGTAGGTAAGAACATTCAACGGGAAGACGATCGCAGTTGCTTCCCAGCATGAGAGGGTTCCGTGGGCCATTTACCGGCAAGAGTCGGACGCAAGAACCACAGCGGCACCAATCTCTGGCCCGGAGCCCTTTGAGCCATCTCAATTGGAAAAGAAACATGCGCTAGCGCTGCTGAAACGCGCCTCTTCGGTTGATGCCACCGGCCATCTACGTGCCGTAGAAACCTGTAAGAGCTCACAAGTTGTTCAAACTTCTGTATCCAGTGCGAGGCCTGGCGGGAAACAATTTGCTCTTATCAAGGATATCGAGGAGCGCACATATGTGATCCTTGTCTGCGAAGTACTCAGCATCAGCGTCAATGATAGTGAAAAGGTTATCATCGATGTCACTGATTACACTTCTAATGAGAGTTTGTCGGATGATGGGGCAGATGATGGCGACGGCCGTGAAGGAGACAGCTTCAACTACTTAGTACCACGCCCGAAGAGGAAGCGAAACGGGCCTTTGGGACGAATGACGCTTCGGATAACGCTTTGGGACCCGCATGCTGCCTTCGCTCGCGTAAATATCCGACCTAACCATTTTGTACACTTGAACAATGTGCACATTAAACGGGGCCGTATCTATAAAAATTTGGAAGCCAGTATCCATACTGACCGTCATTACCCGGACAAAGTCTGCATTACGAAAGTGAACCCTTCAAACGATGAACGAGCGCGTGCATTACTAGATCGCAGGAAGGAATATTGGGCAAGACACTACAACAAAGATTCCGAGGAAGATAATATGGGAAAGCCCGCGAACTCTAAGAAGGCCAAGCAGACCAAAACGCAGAAAAAGCAGGAAAACAAAAACGAAGAAGGCCAGAATCTGCTTGAGATTCGCAAAAGAACTCGCTTAAACGTGCATAGTAAGCCCTCAAAACCCGTCTGTCTCGATGATCATAAAAGGAAAGACCTAATCTAATGACTTGCGTATCACAGTTAAAGCCATGAATGTTTCCATCAAATGCAAACGACTGGAGGACATACTGGCCAATGAATCTCACGAATATAAGACCCCCGAGGGCATCCAGTACCGTCTTCCATTCCAAAACATCTGCTACCGATCAGATATCCGCGTGGTCGACTTCTTCCCTCCCAACCTGGAAGACTTTGCTGTGCCCGAGTCAGATAACGGTAGATTAGCTGCGTCCGATGGTGAAGAACTCGATGCTTCCAGTAACCCAAGAAGCTTCACAAGGTGGGAATGGCGATTCTGTCTTCTCGTCGAAAACTCCACCCCTCCAGGCCCAGGCGTCCCAAAGGAGAGGATGCGCCTTTATGTCTCCGGACCAGATGCCGAGTGTCTACTGGGTTTAGATCCCGTCGAGTGAGTATCCACCACTAGCTATATTTGCAGGGAATGCTAACCTCTTCCGTTTTAGTCTACGAAAGAAAAAGACATCGTTGCGCGAGCTAAAGGAAAAGCTCTTCATCCTATGGGGCGATCTCGAAGAACGAAAGTCACGAGCTGTCGCTGAGAGTAAAACAGATCCCCAGAGCTGGGGCCCTGTGTCCTCAGTGCCTTTTACGTGCTGTATCAAAGAGTACGGTGTGAGATGCTCGCATGGCGATGGTGGAGATGCAGATGGCTCTGAGTTCGGCTGTAAGCATGAGGGTTGCTTTGGCTGGGAGAGACGGTTGGGAATGTTTCAAACGACAATCCATTCATAGGCGGTTGGGTTTGGTATATATATGCACTTTTCATTATGTCTCTCCTCCTAGGTTATGCTGCATATCCTAGTTATTACGGGTCAGTGGGTTTCAGGAACTGTTTGTTATGAGTTGTACTATTTTCGAGATACCATATATAGTTTCTTCTATTTCAATTTTCTTCAATCGATCCAGATTCATGACAACTTTGGGAATAATATGTATATTGTGCCTTTGAAGGTAGTTATGGCACGTGGATGATGTCAGTTGCCCGTGGACAGATACAAGCCACAATATATGAATATGGACACGAACATGTAATATATGCAAGTATTCGAGCATGATACAAGCGGTGCCGGTCGAGAAGACACGACGTCACGGGCGAAACAAAAAGGTAGCATCTCATTTCATGACCGTGGTCATTGCACAAGCACATGGCTAAACCTTGGTCAGTTTGACGATAGTTGTATCAATTCCATGAGTTTCCGGTTCGAATCGACAGCTCGAGCCCCAGTAGCAATTCTTTTTGCCAGGTTCGCTCTGCGGACAGCGGTGCCCGTACATACACTCTGCATCTTCACATTCTAGTCCGAAGCGACATGGAGTCATGCGAGCAATGGCGGACAATATGAAATAATCATTCTTGCTCAGCTTGCGCGTGTGATCATGATGGCAATTCTCGTTGGGGCATTCGCCCTGCAGGTAGTAAAAGTTACAGAGTTTCAGTTTCTTAAGACGATTCAGGTCTTCTCGTGGAATGCTCTTGAAATCAAGCCGGTCGACACGTTGGCCGTGTCTATTTCGTTCCACTGTCTTTGGACGGGTCAAGTTGGTCGCCTTTGGACGCACAACTTGGAACTCATCTGTGCTAGGCGTATTTGCGGAATTCGTAGACGATATAGGCACGGTAATAGGCGTGCTATTGCTGGCCAAGGTTGTGTTGGTTGATGTCCTCGAAAGGGGCACTGTGTGTTGAATTGGCGATGGTGTGAACAGGGAACGAGGCTTTGCAGTTATAGCTGCCTTGTAAGGTGCCAAAGCAGGGGTGATCTTTGTAGTTCGGAAGATATCTGGGAAATTAGTGACTCGGTAGGAAGGTTTTAATAACTCCAAATCTTTATCGAATGCGATTCCTTCAATCAATGACACTCGTCCGATAAGATCCCTGTCTGCTAGTATATCTTCCAATTTTTCAGAATACCCGACCTCGGGCGAGCATCCTAGCAAGATCTGATGGCAGTGGCAGTTGTAAATATACAAGTCGAGCATCTCTGGGGGAATCCAGCAAGTTAGCCCATGGAATGAAGTGGCGGATGAAGAGAGAACCGCCATGTCGTGGACATTGCCATTTCGAGTCACAAAGGATCTTTCAGCAACGAGAGCCATCTCAATAATATAAAAAGTGAGAGGTCAACTTTCAGGCCGCATACCTCTTATCTTGTCGTACGGTTTCCCTTTTCCGGTATCCACCAGGTCTAATAGTGGCATAGATCCATTGAAGCCACGAACAAAATCGTCGAGAGCGGACTGCTCATTTATAATGTGCCCACGCGTACAGATTTCGCTTAATCCCTTCATATTCGCATATATCTTGGTCATTATTTTCGGTGCGGAGATGCCGGGGAAATTGTCTTCGACATAAGCCCGTAAGGCCGATGAGAGTTGCGATGCTGCATTTCGTCCACCTTGCCCTCCTTGTTGTAGGAACTCATCTTTGAATATCATACCGTCTCCGTCGAGTAGCACGACTACAAAGGGTTCACGGTCCTAAATGGGAATAATAGGTATTATTAGTTAATGGTCTTCGCCGAGGAAGAAGACGGGGAGATAACAAACACACCATAATCGTCTTGACCCTCGATAGCTTATCCATCAACTCGATTTCATGAATCTGGATGTCTCGATTGAAGCGCATTTCCCGTTCATGATCGAGTTTTTCTCTTGAAAAGACTTCTTCGAGGTCCGTCACGCGTTGCAGAAGTTCCTAAGCAGAGAGCCGGAATTAAGCAAAGCTGACAGCTGAAAATGAAGTTAATACAGGAGAGCTACCTCGATAAGATTATTCTTTCTCTGTTCTATGGAGACTATCTTCTGATAGCGTTCGAAATAAGCCGAGACTTCCATGGTTGTAAGGCTGGGTTTCCGGGGTAAACTAGCTCGCGGAGACGGACGGCAAGTCGTAGTTCAAATAATATGGGATATAGGAGGGGTTTAGAAATGAGGAGGGATCAGGGAACCAGGATGGCTAAGATTGCGGTCGAAAGATGAATAATATATGTATAGAGCGTCAGCGTGAATGCGCTTTTCTCGGCGCTTGCTTTTTTATATCGGGTTCTTGGTTCCCCAATTTTCTTCCTGTCCCGTTTTGGAAACACCCACGCAGCGCTCGGAGTCAGCTGACTAAGACATCTAAACGCCTACGTGGAGAAAAAGGTCCGAGATTCCCCTTCATCAACAGCTCCGACTCTCTTTCTCTCTTCTTCCCATTGAGCTCTCTTCCTCCTTCCTGTCCTTTCCCTTCTCGTCCCTCGTCCTTTGATTCGGCTCTGTTTCGCAATGGCTCGCTTCGGTTTCCTCTCGTTGGCTCTGCTCTCTCTCCAGGCCTTGATCGGCACCAGCTTCGCGGCAGTATGCTCACCCCCGGTTTTGTCTCATTTTGAATGCCAATTGTCTCGCTAACATGATTTTCACTCAATTAGGAGGCTTCCGATAATTCAGGTGAAGAAGTGGAAGTGCCAAAGGTTGCTGTCTCGGCGCAGGCGTCCTTCCCTGATGCTGAGATCTTTGGCGTGAAGCTCATCAATGGCCACCCGACTCGGGCACTTATCTCCGTCACCAACGAGGAATCCTCTCCTGTGACGCTGAACTTCATCGGTGGTACTTTGTCGACTCCGGACGAGGAGCAGAGCGCCATCGTCCGCAACTTGACTACCACGCGATACGGCATCGAGATTCCTGCTGGTCAGAAGGAGGAATTGAGCTACAGCTTCGTGAATGAGATGCACCCGCAGGACTTGAGACTGAGCTTGTCCTCTATTGTGTCTGACGCTGAGGGACGTTTCTTCACCGTCTCCGCCTACAATGGAACTGTCAGCGTTGTTGAGCCGGAAACCAGCATCTTCGACCCTCACATGTGAGTATTATGTTATTGAGGGCTGTTGTAAAACGCAAGGCTAACTTTATGAACAGCCTCTTCCTTTACTTCGTCCTCCTGACCGGTTTCGCTGGTGTCGTCTATTTCTTCTATACCGTATGGATCGCGCCGTACTTCCCCCAGAAGCGCAAGCCTGGAAAGACCGACTTCTCCAAGAAGTCATCTGGTACATCCAAGAAGGATGAGGCCGCCCCTGTTGAGACCGCCGCTAGTCCCGTTTCCTCTGCCACCACTTACAACGCCGATTGGATCCCGGCTCACCACATCAACCGCCCTGAGGCCCGGAAGGTGAAGGGTACCGCGCGCTCTATTAAGACTCGTGTCTAAGTGCGTTGAAGGAGGAACATGGTGTCGCAAAAGGGCATGTTGAAGGAGGGTCCTGGTCATGGCTACTGCTCGGTTCTGAAAAGGGCCTTGGTACACGGTCTTGACCGGAGGACTCGGGGTTGGCTAGCTGGTCTTGGGCAATAGATCGCTGAGAATGTGATCGATTGGACAAGGCCACTGGCATATTATATTCGAAACGTGTATATTTACGATTACTTGAGGGCTCCCGTTGTGGCACCCAGGAATAGATTGTCTCGGGTTACTAACCAGCTAAGAACAATCAAGAATAATGCTTCCCATATATTAATTTTTGAGTGAGGTAAAAGTCTGCCATTGGCCAGTTCATTGTCGTTTCCATTCGTTGAATTCCTCCTCCAAGTGCCCCTTGAATTCAGCAAATTTGTTGCCAAAGTTTCTTTCACAGCGCCAGCAAATATAGTCCCATTGCAGGTAACCCTGTCTCTTGAAATATTTCCTTGGATCGTCTTGTGGCAGAGGAAAATCATCTACGTCAACGAAAAACGGCGTAGAGAAGCTGTTGTAATGCTTTTTACTCTTCATCCGCTCGCTGTACCGATCCACAGACATAACATGAATATGTAAATGGTTCATCGACGGACCCGAATGTATCCCGCACATAACCTCCTTCTCCCAGTCCCTCCCCGACGGCAGTTCGTCCGGTGGAAATTTCACATCAAGCGCATCGTACCTCCTCTTCTCCTGTGCAGACTCCTTCCCGTACATTCTCCTCAATTCAGCCGCCGCTAGAGCACGGATTTTCTTCACCTCCACCCTGACATTTTCCAGGAACTCGGGATCGTCAAAGGCATCAAATGGGTGGAGACGAGTTTTGGAGAGATCGCGCGGGAGAAGGAGGAGATGGAGCGTAGATTTTGGGTATCGATCGCGGATCGCCACGAAGTTCTGATTCTGGTATACGATGACATTGGAGGAGAAGGATTCGGGGTTTTCGATGTATGCTCCTAGGGCATCTCTTGGGCCTCCGGGGGCTCGTTTCTCGCTCTGTAGGTAATCGTACCATGTGTGCGGGTCTTTGTGTTTCTGTTGTTTATTCTTGGGGGAGAGGAGTTCTGTGACTTTAAGACTGAGTGTCAGTAAATAAGCACATGTAAAATAATTTATAATCAATCTCACTAGCAGTTCGTACAAGCATCTCTTTTCTCTGCTTTCTGGGGTCGCGACATGGTGACGTTTGCAGTCCGCGCGCACTTTCTCGCACTTCAGAGCCAGGTGCTTTAAACGTTAGGAATAGTAGTATGTTTATCAAATAATATCATGTACCGATAATTGATTTGAAGGAGTATCAATTTTTTAAAACTGTTGCTTAGAACTAGGCTTTTGTAGTCTTGCTCATGCGGAGAGCACTATGACTCCCCGCAGTTGGTCGCCCAAAAAGGCATAGCGTGGACGACCATTTTCATCGGCGACAGTCGTCATTTTTTTGCCTTGGCTGGCACTTGTATAGCTCACTCCACGGGCGTCAATTTTGGATATACTTATATAACTTTATATCTCAATTTCTTTGTATATATTACATAATGCCCCCCAAGAAAAAGGGAGACGCCCGTGGAGGGCCCAAGCCTGGCACGAAGCAAGCAAAAGCCACGGCCGAGCGAACGGCGGAAAGCGCAAAAGCGCAGCAACCTCCAGCACAAGAGCAGAAGAAACCCTCAGTAAAGGAGGTCATTGGAGGCGCATCATGGACCGGAAAATTGCCTGTCAATATGCTGTCGGAGCATTGCCAGAAGCAGAAGTGGGAGAAACCGGAATATACCATGGTATTACTGCAATTGATAGCCCTGGCTGCATTTATTAGTAGCAATTACTGATTAGGCCATTATTTTGTTGCAGAATAAAAACCGGGAAGGATTATTTTCATCGACCGTTATTCTGAAGAAAGTCGATCTCAAAACTAGAGAGACAATTACCCTTCCCCCAATGGAGCTCCCTCGATCTCATAAGTCTCTCTCGGCCCAACCGACGGCGCTCGAAGCTCGCCATTTCGCTGCTACATATGCCCTATACCGTGTTTGCAATATGCGGAATCTTCACATGATGATGCCCCCTAACTATAGAAAGTTATGGAAAGAGGACTTCTCGGATCTCAGAACTGCAGATATAAAAGAAGGGAAATCTTGGATGTACGAAGCAGACCCCTTTTTGGCTAAGCAGGAGAGAGAGAGCGCAGCAGCAGATATGGAAAAAAAGCGAAAGGATCGTGCGGCTGCGCAGTCGAAAGAGAAAGAAAGCACAGTGCAATTGGGACTCGGGCCCTCTGGTGGACAATCCCAGGGCAAGAGATTCTGGTCAAATGCGCCGAAGGTCGAGATGGGAAGTAAAGTGCGACGGGAGATCGAGACGCTACTGCGACAGCATGCTATCTGGAATCCTTATAACGTGCAGATACCCGAGAAAGAGCGAAGAACCATTGTTGAGGAATTTGCGCAGTTGGGCTTCCGACGTAGCCACGTTGAAGAGGCAGCAGCGACATGCAAAGACCGTGAAGAAGTGCTCGAATGGCTTCTAATCTATGTCCCAGAAGATGATCTTCCTCAATGGTGCCTGCCAGAGGGTTATTCCGCTGGTGTAAGCCTGGCCAGTGATGACCTTGCACGGGAGGGTAAAATCAAACGACTCACATATGCTGGGTATCCAGCTGATCTTTGCTCATTTACGTTGGATAACAAGAAGGGAGACGAACTCACGGCAGCAGAATCCTTACAAAACACATTGGTGCACGGAACAAGTCGGCCTTCAGAGCCCGCATCCGAGGATGAGGATTCCTGGGCAGAGGAACAAGATACCTTGGAAGCCATCTTTGGGGAGCGCCATGTTAGGTCTTCGCCCAAGGTTTGTGAGATCAAAAGTGAAACTCCAGGCATGGAGGGGTCAGTATCTTTTCGATTTCAGAGACCTTCTGGACATTACCCCTCTGTGCCTCCGGTTATATCCATCATGGCAAAGGACATTCCTTCTTATATACGGCTCAGTGCGATTCGTCAAGCGGTAAAATATGCCGAGGAGATGTTTGTCGGTGAACCAATGATATTCAATATCATGGACTGGCTGGAAGCGCAATTACCAGAGATTATAGAGAACCCAGGGAAGCTACGGGACATCTCGACAGTCACAGCATCCCCATCCACTCCTGAGAGAGCCTCAGAGCTTCCAACTCGACAATCGAGAAAGTCACGCAAAGGGGTCGACTGGCAACCGGGCACGCCGAAAAGCGTTTCGATACGAGAAGCGTGGGAATCCAAGAGATCAACCAAAGCCCAACGTGAGATGCTTCAGAAACGAGAATCACTCCCTGCCTGGAATACACAGGATGCCATCATACACGCTGTGAATACTCACCAGGTGACCATCGTCTCTGGTGAGACAGGTAGCGGTAAGAGTACTCAATCTGTCCAGTTCTTGCTGGACGATATGATCACGCATGACCTGGGTGCTGCCGCTAGCATCATATGTACACAACCTCGAAGGATCTCGGCTCTTGGTCTTGCGGATCGAGTAAGCGATGAACGATGCGGCACTGTGGGTGACGAAGTTGGATACGTGATTCGAGGAGAATCCAAGATGAAATCCGGTGTGACCAAAATCACATTTGTCACCACCGGTGTTTTGCTTCGCCGCATGCAAACTGGCGGTGGACCAGACGGCAACGTCGCAAGCTCTCTCGCGGACATCACACATGTCGTGGTCGATGAAGTTCACGAACGGAGTCTTGATACAGATTTCCTTTTGGCACTTCTTAGGGATGTTCTTCGCTACCGCAAGGATATCAAGGTCATTTTGATGAGTGCAACTCTTGATGCGGATATCTTCATCGACTACTTTGGCGGACGCCAAAATGTTGGATTAGTGAACATTCCCGGGCGAACATTCCCGGTCGAAGACTACTACATGGATGATATTGTCCGTGATACTGGATTCTCGTCGGAGCTGACTGAGCGCGACTTCGATGATGATTCAGCCGTTGGTATGTCAAATGACGACTCGTTAGGCAAGGTTCTTCGTAAGGTTGGCATGGGAATCAACTACGAATTGATTTCCACCACTGTTCAATACATTGATAGACAGCTTGGAGATAACCCTGGAGGAATCCTGATTTTCCTTCCGGGTACACTTGAAATCGACAGGTGTTTAGCTGCTGTGAGCAGACTTCCCGGCGTACATCCGCTACCATTGCATGCATCTCTTCTTCCAGCAGAGCAGCGGCGTGTCTTCCTGGCTCCGCCCAAGGGAAAACGCAAGGTCATTGCAGCCACCAACGTGGCAGAAACATCTATCACTATCGAAGACATTGTAGCGGTTATCGACACTGGCCGCGTGAAGGAGACCAGTTTTGACCCCAAGGACAACATGGTTAGGCTTCAGGAGGTGTGGGCATCGCAAGCTGCTTGCAAGCAACGACGAGGACGTGCTGGTCGTGTTAGGGCTGGCACCTGCTACAAGCTTTACACGCGCAAGGCCGAGGCCAACATGGCGCAGCGGCCGGACCCTGAAATTCGCAGAGTACCGTTGGAACAGCTGTGTTTGTCAGTCAAAGCAATGAAAGGTATTGATGATGTTGCCAACTTCCTGTTTAACACGATTACACCACCAGAGAGCATTGCTGTTGAGGGAGCGCTAAGCTTCTTGCATCGCGTCGGTGCTTTGGACCATGATCGTTTGACGGCTCTCGGACGTTACCTGTCATTGATCCCTGCCGATCTGCGATGCGCGAAGCTCATGGTGTATGGCTCTATTTTCGGTTGTATAGACGCCTGCGTCACTATTGCCTCTATCCTGACCGTGAAAAGCCCCTTCGTCTCTCCGAGGGAGAAACGCGAAGAAGCGAATGCCGCCAGAGCGAGCTTCTCTCGAGGAGATGGTGACCTTCTGACGGACTTCACAGCCTACCAACAATGGTCTGAGCGTGTAAAGACCAATGGTTACTGGCAGACTCAATCCTGGTGCTCGGTCAACTTCCTCTCCCATCAGACCCTGCGCGACATCTCGTCCAACAGAGCCCAATTTTTCACCTCACTAAAGGACTCCGGAATCCTCCCCGTCAGTTACTCTGAAAATAGTAACAACGATACTTCATCCCGCTTGAACCGCAACTCCAAGAATTCAACCCTTCTCCGCGCCCTCGTCGCAGGCTCCTTCCACCCTCAAGTCGCACAGATCTCATTCCCAGACAAAAAATTTGCCAGCTCCGTTACGGGTACCGTCGAACTCGACCCAGACGCCCGAACGATCAAATACTTCAACCAGGAGAATGGCCGCGTCTTCATCCACCCTAGCTCTATCCTCTTCTCCGCACAAGGTTACACCGGTGCAGCCGCCTATATCAGTTACTTCACGAAGATGGCCACAAGCAAGGTTTTCATGCGTGACTTGACTCGTAAGTAAACCCTATGGCATCGGAATGAGCCGCCCCCTAACTTTATTCTCTAGCATTCAACGTCTACGCCCTCCTTCTTTTCTGCGGCTCCATAACCCTCGACACCGCAGGCCGCGGCCTAATCGTCGACGGCTGGCTTCGCCTGCGTGGCTGGGCTCGTATCGGTGTTCTTGTTTCCCGTCTGCGTATGGTGCTGGATGATATGTTGGCTGCGAGAATCGACAATCCCAACAGTGGCAGTACCAGTACTACCACTACTTCGTCAGATCGTCCGGATGAGAAGGTCATTGAGATAGTGAAGCGGTTGGCTGAGTTTAACGGATTGGATCAGTGATTGTTGGATGCATTTTGGTGTGGCGGACTGGCAAATTTGCCAGGGGGATTGAAAGCCCCCATGATATATAAACATGATTATTTTGGAAGCCATAAAGACCAAAAGATAAAAGCTTTCATCATGTACTTCATTGCTGTCTCAGGGTAGTTTATGTAAATCTTAAGTTTAGCGTACCCTATCAGTCACGAGACTCTAGATACGGCAATCTTCCAGTAAACACAAACATTGCATACACTTCGACTTCTCTGCAAGTCGCACAACTCCTTTCACTGACTCACAAGCTCTCATCGGACCAACAACGAGGCGTACCACCGACCTAATAAGAGAGAAAAGCGGGATAATAACGTACACAGTAACAAAAAACCATGGCCCAGTCACAATCATCTATTGGGCGTCAAAAGAAGAATGAGAAACTTAAGCAATACCCTCCCCCAACCCAGACCTGCGGCAATGATATTCTCTCTACGCTTTTCCTAGATACACCATTGACGACTATTTAGATAAACGACCCCAGAGATATGCCAGAAAGCTAGCTGGGCTACAAAACATAGATTTGGATGAGAGGCACTGGTTTTCAGAGGCGTCCAACGTTTTCTGTGCCCATTCAGAGTCAAGAAAATGTGAGTTCGTAAAGCCAAGACAAGTAGTCATTGGCAAATGACTGAATCGATAATGCAGTTTGGTCGGTCAAGTACATGGTAGATGAGGACCAGTCCTGAAAATGAACTGGACAATTGGATCATTTACATGCAACGCCACTTCTTCCCCCTTCTATCCGGGATAACTCGAGCGGGTCATTCGAGGGAAGCGTGCGGGAAAACCAACAAATATAGTACACTGGGCAGTCAAGGAAGAAATGATCACCCAGACGGGAGCGCATATGCTGCAGGAGATCTGTGGTCAAAATTATTGAATGTAAGGGGCAACCACATAGCGCAACTGGTCAACTCCGGCCATAACTGTATTACTTTTGTGGAAGCTTTGGCCAAAGCGATCAAAGAGGACAAGGAGAAGCAGGACTAATAATGTACATTTATTAGCATATTTTGCATATTTAGATCGACATCCTCATAAAAAAAAAAAGAAAAAGGATTTTGGAGGGATTAGAGGGCTGGCTTCTGTTTCACAACATGGGGATTTATGAGGAGCCCTAATTCGTCCGGGGCTACACGTGACTATAAAACCATATTTTCACTACAGCCATAAAAGAACGAGAATATAATAAATAACCATTATCTTTATTGATTTTCATAGCATGCATAAGTCTTTCAAGTAACAACTCATAAGCAACCATAGCGGAAATCATCAGTCCAAAACGGGGGAAATCGACACAGGGGAGGATAACTGATGTAAAGAAAGGGAACACGTGCAATATGTATGGAGACAGGTCGAAAGTAATAAGAGCAAATAGACGAAACGGAGGATGGGGGAAAATTGAGGAATGCGAGTAACATAACATAGTTAATTGATTCATACAAAAATGTTCTTCGACCATAACTCGAAAAGCCGGATCGACAAGCGTGTAACAGTACTTCGTAACAAAAAATTCACCCATGACAACAATACAGGATCTGATTCATTGTCCCACCATGATCTTCCTTGTGTCTTCATGGTTCAGATTCGAATCGGGCAATAACAAACATAGGCGAAATATGCAGCCGCCACTTGATGGTAAAGTGAAGTTAGAAACGGCATATTGCGATGATAAAGTAATATTCAAACTAGCCAAAGTCGCGTGTTCTTTTTGTCTTTTTTATTAAGTCGAGCCAGCCGATTAAAGATCAATATATCTCATTTGCTCACTTGCGAGGCGCCAGAGAATGTCGTCAAAAAGCCGACTGGCATAGGCAGGAAGCGCTGAGTTAGAAACGGAAATCATCGGTAGGCTGAGTGCAGTAGAAAAATGAAAGGGGTATCAAAATTTAAACAAAGAAAAAGAGGTATTAAGAAATAGAAAGGAAATAAACCAGCCATAGGCCTGTTACACTCCTAATAGTGTGTGGCACCAAAAAGCCCGTTGCGTTTGTAGACGGAACTGTCTCTCGATATCTGAGGAAGGCGAAAGTATTGCATTTCCGCCTGGACGAAGAGGGACGCTCGCTTGTATCGTTTGTCCGCATATTTCTCGAAGATGAAGGCATGGTGTCCGCTGGGGTTCTCACAGCACTCTAACAACACGGAGACGAGAGGCAAGAGTTGGGAATAGGTATAACCCGAGTAATGGATATGAGCCGCAGACCAGTCTCCTTTGCCAAGCATCAAGCGCGCCAGACAATGAGCGCCCGCAGCGAGGAAACTTGGAGGGCTACTGACAAATCGCTCATCCATGATGGTGAGTTCCAAGAAATACTTGGCCATGGTGCGAGTTTCCAAGTCATAGTCGTCGGCCTTGCTAATTCTCCGTAGGAAACTCATAGGGCCAGGCCATCCCAACTCAAAACGCAGCACGTACAGCATCAGCCGCTCAGCCTCGAGAATCTTCTCCGCGGTATAACGTTGCTCGACCATGAAGACAACTTCCCAGACGGATGGGCAGTTGATTTCTTCGTACTTGGCTGCAATAAACAGTGCGGTTGCACCCACGAGCTGAATTCTGTCCAACGAGATGATCTTGCTGGATAGGAAACGATCGACATAATTGACACACAAGTAGAGGGTTTCCGGAAGGAGCCCAAAGCGATGGTGGACCTGCACTAACCAATCCATGAGAATAGACCGCATCGACCATTGAATTTCAACCTGGTAGTCCATGTAATGGGCGTTTGGAAGCATTTTTAGCTGTCAAGAGAATTGATTAGCAAGGGCGCATAGACATGTGACTCCTTTGAAGATAGTGCTTACCTCCTGTTCCTTCATGAAGTCGAAGATTTCGTCGCTATACTCAGCAACCATGCTAGTATCCCAGAACTCGTCTTCAACATCCTCCTCCGGACGGGTGGCCTCGACAATCTCCTTTGCCAGGGCCAATTCCCGCCTTACTTGTTGATTGTACTTGGGGAAAAGTACAGCAGTTATTCCGCCGGTAGTGTTGTCTCCCCGAGAGCGATAGGAGCGTGCAGTAACATATCCATCATCCTCCTCATTCTCGTCCTCTTCGTCGTTCCAGTAGTCCTCCGGTTCCTGTTCATGCTCCGGTGGAGGAACTGAATGGGGATGACTGTGCACGACCGCATGAGTCACATGAAGCTTGGGCTCTTCGGGCTCTTGTGCTTTACAATCAATTTCGTCAGCAGTAGAAGATGCTTCCGCTTCGACGCCGATTGCGTCTGACTTCATAACGGCACAGTCGTCGGCGTCATAGTGGTTGTGCAGATTTTCAATTGGCTCTTGAGCCGCGTTGTCTTCTTCCTCCTTGTCGTCAAGTGACAGTTCGGTTGACGGACGCAAAATGCCCTCCGTGCTAATGTCCGACGCGTCAGGTTTGGTTTCCTTGGATGCAGTAACTTCGTCTTTGATTTCGTTCATAGACTGAGCGGAGTCCTTGAAAATGGCAGTTCCCCGTTTGTTCACCGTCTTGCGCGTGTTGGCAGTCTGTTGCGATAGGGTTGTCTGTTTGCCAGTTGGTTCAAGAGGCTTCTGTTGAGCCTTAGGCTGGTTGAGAATGCCCTTCAAGTTCGATACGGACGTAGGACGCTGGGGCGGCTGGGCCAGCACATTAGACTTTCTTTCGGGTATCTTCACTGTAGGCTTTGCTACGCCTTTGGTGATCTGTTTCTTGCCCGCCAAAGCGGCGCCATCGCGACTTCCGTGGACCGGGTTAGCGGTATTGCTGACGTCCCCAAACGCAGCGCGACGCGGGCCATTATTCTTGGGAACTCCATTCTGAAAGGCGCCGGCGAGAGCAGTGGTAGACTTGTTTCGCTGGTGAAGTGTTTTCTCGGCCGTGAAGGCCATCGGGGCGTTCTCGTCGCCGCGGACGCGAATACGCTGTGGCTGTAGTTTCAGAACGAGCATGTCAGTTTCACGTGTTCCATCGTGGCAAATGGAAAGCGTGACGAGATCAAGGCAATAAGTTGAGTTACTTGAGAGAATGCGCGTCGATTGTGGTTGAGCCATGGTAGGCAGCACTCAACCATACACCATGTAATCAAGCGTCAGATGTCCAAAAAAAGGAAAAACCACGTACCTTTGCGTCCATGGTGAAGATATTTCCAGCAGAATATGTCTGAAAATGGTAGGCACCTGCCTGGCTGCAGAAGGTGACTTGCTTTCTCTCTTGTTAAACCAAATAAACAATGGCCGCGCCAGGAAGAATCAGACGAGAAATCAATTCAATTGAAGCCCAGCACCATTAAACACCAAACCCGAAGGGAGAGCAGGATGGAAGGAAGTAACGAGGCGATGAAGACGAGACCTGCTCAAGGGGTGTTTATTATGGTTGCCATCGGGGCCTTCATCTCTGAATGAATGCAGCTGCTTCCCTTACTTTTTGCCTTCTTACCGCTTTCGTTACCGTAAACAACGGCCGCGCTAATCTGCTTTGGGTGTTGCCGTGGCATGCTTATGTCACCCGTCCTGATAAAGAAGTGTTTGCAGTGTTTGTGAGATGTTCGAACTAATGACGTCAGGCGGCGCGTCTCCCGCTGGCACTTCCAAACACCATCAAAGTGATTATCACCACCACAACGACATAAAAGCATCACAAAAAATGGCTTCTAATGTGCTCTAAGCATGCGATTTGAGATCTGTTATTCTTCCCTCCATTATTGTCGCAAAAAATTGGTGAAAATCGAGTTGGACGAAACCCTGTTTGGACACGCGGGATCACACGCGATCAGCGCCAATTAAACACGAAAGCACGTGACCCACGACGGCCGCATTTCGCCGTCAAGACCGGGCCAAACGCCATATCGCAGAGTCGATATTGGATGGTAAATGATGAGATCTCTCCGGAAAAGGTTTGAGACTAAAAGTCCGCTGGCAAATGAATTGCTGGCCAGGAGTGGTCTGCGACGAGACTATTGACTCCGTTCCTTTTTTTTTTCTTCAACTCGCCGGTTGTATGGTCTCCGTTTGCACCCGTCGTCGCAAGATAGCCACTCGCTTTTTGCTCTTTCTGAGTGGGACGCCGGATGCTAGCGGTTGTTCATAATGAATCGCATTGACTTGTCCTTCGGCCCCGAAATTTGGGAAGAAGAAAAGAGAAAAGAGGGAACCCCTTCGTTTGGGCTCACTTCGTTCTTTTCTTTAAATATCTTGAATTCTGAAGGAAAAAAGGAAGAAATTTACATTACAGCTGCCCTGGGCAGGAAAGGTGTCGCATTTCATTCCATCCAATTCGAAGATGCGCAAAGTTTCGGTGAGTGTGTTGTCTGTCTCCAGTCCGGCGACCAGTCATGGTGATTTCTCGGAAGACGAGGCGACGCTGGTGAACCATGATGAGGGAAAGTTCAATTCTGCAACACACCAAATTTCCCGGCTATATAAGCAAGAATCATACTATTCGTACTCATTACTGTTGCTTGTTCTCAGATGAGATGAATCAATGGCCTTTTTGCGACGAGCAATCCTACCTGACCCTGTCTGACTGGTTGCAATGCGCGCAAGATACCTCCCCCACTGCAAAACAAAGCAGGGCGGACTGTCATTGATCGGATTGATTGCCAGCTGTTCAACGGAGGGGCGTTTGATTCTTGCTTCCGCTTTTACCTTTCTCCTCCGCAGGCACCTTGTCGCGCTATCTTGCTCCCTTGCGACCGGTCTCGAGTCGCCACTCACACAATGAATTATCTGTCGCAATCGCCAATTTTCCGTATTTTGTGCTCTACCGGGACATACCTGAAGACTTTCCATAGCCATAACGAGGACCCGGGAGATATTCGCCGGGGCTCGGTATTCTGTGTGGGATTTCCCATCCCCGCCCCAAACAGGTAGATCGTACAAGTACCGGAGGATGTCACTTGTGCCCAAAAGACATTGCGCATCCTTGCGCATGTACGGAGGGACGCTACGAGTCAGTTAATTAGCTAGTTACTAGTCGTTAGATTCCGGGTGTCTGCCTGTCTGCCTGCCTGTTGTCCATCGTGGCCGAGGAGGGGTAACAGAAAGCGACCAAAAGTCTGGACGCAGATCATCGAAACGAAAGCCGCATCGGGCGCTGTCGCAAACTTGTGCAGTGGCCATTGAGCCGATGGAAAGTCATCAGGATGATTTTCCGGATAGAAATGCACTGTCCATTTGATAATTACAGAAATAGAGAGCATAGCTTTCCCCGTAGTCTCTTCCATCGCATCCCCGGAAATCAAATGGGCGAGATTCGGAGTCCCGCAAACAATCGGTCTGGGACGACATATCTCTTTTTCGTTGTTATCTAGCTACAGGATCTGTTCTCAAATTAACGAAGTGATTCGCATGACTGCTCCTATTTTAACCCGCACTGGGGTTCAGTAATTGGCCTTGGTTTCTCGCATGGGACGTTGGGCGCCATTCGACGTGGCCGCGCTGGAACCAAACCCGTCCGTCGCAGCCACTCATGCATCTGTGAATTTGTGGGTTCTGCTGCTATCTGCTGGAGAGGAGAAACAAGGGAATAAGAGGGGATTCGAATGAAATGCAGAATTCGCAAAATGAAGAGTCCAAGGGTGGTCTGTTCCATTTGCGCCAACTCAAGCATCGCCATCCGCAATCATGAAATGGGGATATTTCTCCCCTCTCCAAGGCGCTCAATGTGTGTAGAATTCAGATAGAAACTAAATACGCATAATGTAAAATGTTTTCCTCATCTAATAAGCCTAAAATCAATGGGCAGTAGGCCGTATACCAGGATGCGCATCCGATTTGCGACCAGATGGATTCCGGCGCAAATGCGACAAAGACAGCCCGATGCAGTAATTCAAGTTCTGGTCGAGAAAGAGACTGGTGGATTCACAGGCTTTGGTTTGTTCATTTGGATAATATTACAACCAGCGACTCGTTGGTACTCACTTTTAAAGTAGGTGCGACCATTTATCGGCCATTTCTGCTGTCTTGTTCCCTCGCTCTCTTCCTCTTCCTCTCTCACCATCACCAAACATCAACGCAATCGATTTCTCCAATATCTCTACAATCTACAAAAGCAATTATCTGGTAAGTAGAACTATTTCTCTCTTTTTATAGTCAATGCAATTTAGATGGTTGTTCTTCTTTTGTCCCCCTGAACTTGTCACTTCGGCTCTGACCACCTGCTGTGATGCCACCGCTGACATATAATATAAACCCATTTCCCAGCGCTTCGTCTTTCTTCCCTCTTCCTCCCACCCCTCAACAACCAACCTCGACACAATCGCCCATCAACAGTTCATTGCTATTCTCCTTCGAGTCTTTCTTGGATGAGTGCGACTGGGAATTTCTAGACTGGGTTTGTTATTAGGTGCGTATTCGCTCATTGCTGTTCCGTCATCTCCCACTCCCACTACCACCCACCAACACACACTGGCACAACGCACACCACTTGTCTGCGTCGGATTTGACCAGTCATCATCCCATATCATCCCTATGATTCTTTTCATCCATATGGCTGATGGATTGAATGCTTTTGGAACCGATTGTGCTAACTTGTGGTCGTCGCTCTTCGCCCCAGGTCCTCTCTCAAGCCAATTTTTCCCTTTCTGGTCGCTTCTCCCGGCTGTAGCGACTTCTCCTCGTCCCAGACTCCGTCCCCCTTTCTACCATCAAATATCTTCACGAGAATAATCGCGGGTGGTCTATCTATCCATCAGAGTCCTTTTTTATTTCTTTTCGTGGTAGGTAGGATTGGATTTACCCTCTTCCCTGCCCTCCCGCTCAGCCGTCGGGTTCCTTACCCACGCACACACATACCACACTTATACCCATCCATTCATCCATATATATACTGCAAAACAGACTTGATTAACTAATTTTATCTTTACATAGCAGTTAAATTGCCGTCGTTAATACCTCAACCGAACCGTCCTCCCTCAACGATGATGCAAACTACTCAGTACGGACGGCCTCAGGAATCTACTTCCTATGCCGCCGCTTCGCCAGAGCAGATCCACACCACCCCTGTGCCTAAAAACGTCGCCTTTGAGCTGCTTCTTGATGAAGAGTCCAAGGTTCGAGCGCGGATACCCATGCGAGTGCAGATCTATCCACACGACACTACCGACTCCATCGTGACAACCGTTAAGAACTTCTATGGGATCTACGACAAACAGGCGAGCGGTGTTAGCTTTGAGGATGAGAATGGCATCACTCTCATCGCAAGATATGAAAATTTGAGAAATAATATGACGGTTTATGTTCGGGTTATCCCCGCCCAGGCATATGGTGAGGGCTATAGTGAGCGCTTCTATGGCTCCTATCCCGTCGAGGCCCGTAAACGCCCTAGTCTAGGGGAGCCTTTCCAGATGCCGGCCATGCCGCCTACCCATGTCTCGGATCATGCTCAACCACCATCTCGTCCTGCTTCGAGATTGGCCAGGAAGCGCAGCACGTCGCCTTCATCCCGGAGCCGTCGTAGCGCTTCCCAGAACAAGCACTCTAAGGCGGGGACAAAAGGCAGAAATCCCACCAACGGCGTCCAAGACGATTATGATGACGATAATACTGATAGCGATGATGGCTATGGATCTGCCAATGGTACCAAAAAGGAGATATTTGCCAGTTCCGATATCAGCATGGAGAACATCCTGCATGACGGTCGTCGGAAACGGCCAAAATTTGAAAGTTCGGTAAGTTTTATAGTAGATCCTTCTTGTCTTCTCTTTGATTATCTAACCATATGTAAATCATAGGAATTGCCCTTGTTCGCTCCCCCTCAGGTACCTCTAACTACCTCTACCTCCTCGATCTCACCGCAGCGTCAGTCTCTTGGTCAAGAGGGGGCTGGCTCGCCCTTCGCTCGTCCCACCCAGCGGCCCTATACATACCCACCCCTGCCATCGCCACAGAGCTATGGTCACAATGAACAAGCATACAGTTCCCGAAATGCGTATGCTACTCCTATGGTCCAGGAACATGGTCATCGCCTGCGCGACCGGACAACTACCCACTCGTCGGGACAATTTAGTAATGGCCGGACCAACGGACCCGGCATCCTACCCACCCCGGACCCTACGATTGCCAGCTGTATCTCTGATGAGGATGTCGCAATGCAGCTGATTCGTCTGGGCGATGCGTCCAACTTCTCCCACGGCCGCACGTCCACGTCGACTTTGGATGATGCCTTCAGCGGTGCAGCGGATGCTGCTTCCTCCACAGGAGCGACCAGCGATGGGGAAGACTTCAGCGAAGACGATGACGAACTCCCCGCACGGTCGAGGCAGCGGTTGGATTCGAGCCCGATGCTGCCTCCTGGCACTACCAAGCGCACCCACAAGCGTCTGGACGACATCCTTCCCAGCTTTGACAGTTCGGATGCCAGCTGGGATGAGGATGACTATCGGAACGACGATCCCGCTGACAGTGTGGTCAAGAGCGAGGTGGATGATGACGTCCCCAGGGCGAAGAAGGCCAAGACCCGTGCTATCAGCACGACCTCAAACAACAACAGCACTAAATCTCGGGGACCCAAGTCGGCAACTGCGCGCCCCAAGAGCGGCAAGGCTTCCTCCACTGGTAACCCTCGCAAAAAGTCGTCATCGTCTACCAATGGCATCCACAAGGCTAATATCGCCCCTATTACCACTACTGTTACCGCCTCTCCCGGGATGGTCAGTCCTGCCCCAACCCGCAAGACCTCAATGTCATCAGTCAACTTCCAGCATCAGCTCGCTGCCGATGAGGAAGACTTATCGACCAAGCCGCGGTGCCAGCGCTGTCGAAAGAGCAAGAAGGGTTGTGATCGTCAGCGTCCTTGCGGAAGATGCAAGGATGCTGGCATTGGTGCCGAAGGGTGCATCAGCGAGGACGAAGGGAATGGCCGCAAAGGCCGTTACGGTCGTCATATGGGCGTCCCGGTTAAAAAATCCATTGATTTCTCTGATGCGAGCGAGACACATGCTGCCATCGCTGCTGTTTCTGCCTCGATGGCGGACAAGAACAAGAAGCGGAAGCGGTAGAAAATTTGCTCCATAGGATTGACTGGATCTCATCACGACACACTCCCTGCATCTTGTTATCACTGACGTCCCTCCTTTGCATTGCCATCCGCCGTATCATCTTCCTCTCCTTGAACATCTGGCATGGACCCTCTCTTCCTCGAATCCTCCCCTTGATGGATCCTTGTCGTCCACATTCCACATCGCGGTTAATGGTCCTTGACTTGCGGTTTTTCACTCCTTTCCTCCATGCACCTGTCGCATCCAGCAGTCCTCCTATTGCGCATTTGAGTTTACTTATTCATCGTTTACTCTAGCGATTGAATTGAGCGGGTTGTTTATCTCTGATTTTCTCTTTTGGCGTTTGAGATGTTACTCCTATCTACTGTCTACCTCTGCTGTCTATCCTCCACACTTGATTCTCTTCCCATACATGCATACACTATTGATGAAAATGCACTTGGCCCCTGTCTGTGTTCCCCCCTTTTTACATTGCAGTTCAATTTCTTCGTGTTTTATATTTAACTGCCCGGTGGTGAATTCTTATACTATAGCTTGTGTGAGGTAGCAACAGCAAGTAGGAAATATATATTGACATATGATTGAACTTTGTGCTTTTCCAATTCTCTGAGAACCTGATCGACCAAAGATTCTTTGTATTTATAGCCGGTGCATTATATAGAAATGTAACTTTCATTCATCCCTTCACACAACTTTTATCCTGATATGCTGCACTCTTTGTTCTTGTATGTTGTGCCAAATTAGGTTTAGTGTAATTGCCCCGCAGTTGCAATTCCCGCCATACACGCGCGTTTGCGCTTCTTTTATCCGCCGGATTCAAAGGAAAAGAAAATGTGAGTCGCCGGTTTTTGCAGTGACATTGTCCGAGACTTATCTCTTTTTTCTTAAAAATTCCTTCTCTTTTGACACCCGACTCTCTGTCAGAGACGTTGTCTGACGAGCCTCACAAAATAGTGGTGGTTCAGCAATTTGACCCATGAGTCTTTTTTTCTTTTTTTTTCTCAACCACCAAGCACCGAATAATACTACACCACACCAACACAGCATACTGCCATGCCACCAAAAGCCGCACCCCGTAGAGGGGCAGCAAGCGCATCCACCTCATCGCATCCACAAACAGAAAACCCAAATCCTTCCGCACCGAATGCCTCACGGCCAACCCCCGCTCCGAGCGCGGGCAGAACAGCTGCCGGCGCAGCACCACCCCGCGCACCCGTCCAACGCCTCCAAACTCTCAACAAACGCACCCCGACAGGCAGCATAGCTCCCGCCACCCGAACCTCCGCAACGCCCGGCTCCAGCGGCGCGCCGGGCGAGCCCGTGAAACCAACATTAAAGTATAAACCGCGCGCTGTCGGCCGACGAAGCAAAGAAGAGCGCGAGGCGATCGAGAAACTCGAAGCAGAGCGGCACCGCGAGAGACTTAAGGAAGCTGCTGCTATCCAGCGCGGACGGGGAGGTTCGCGCGGAGGCCCATTTGGACGCGGGCGAGGCGGTGGTGTTGGTGGCACGGGGGTTGGGGGGCCATTGGGGGCTGGGACTGGTGGTGGGGGTGGGAGACGAGGTAGAGGAGGACGGTTTGGGGGTGATGGAGGGAGGGGAGATTCGCGGGCGTCGTCGATGGGGCATCGGAGTCGGACGAGGTCTGTTATTGATATCGGGAGTGCGGCGGCGAGTCGGGATGTATCGTCTGATGAGAGTGATTCGGGGAATTTGGTGGATATTGACCAGATTAACCTTGATAGTGATGAGGAGGGGTTTGTTGCTGATGATGAGCCGAAGAAGGGGAAGGGGAAGATGGCAATGGCTGATGATGTCGATGAGAGGGGACTACGGCCGATTCGGGTAGAGAGACATGAGCATGCGGAGCGAGTTGTCAGTGTTAATATGGAGTCTAGCTCGGGCAAATCGGCAGATATAAGGGAGCAGGCTAAGTCCAAGACTAAGGAGGAGGAGGATGATGATGCCTTATTTGTGCGACAGGAGGACCAAGTGGAGGAAGTGCGCGTGAAGGAGGAGCCTACGGACGAGGGCGACCAGGTTATGAAAGATGTCCCTACCACCTCTGCGGATGATGCAGCTGCGGATGCGGATGATGAATTTCTCCCGGCGCAAAAGGTCAAGGTGCGACGGAACCTGAGCAAGGAACCAACTAGCAAAGAGGCGACTCCGGCACCGACACCGGCATCAGCACCTTCCAAAGATCCGAAGAGCTTGCTACGGACCAAGGAGGATATTGAAGAATACGAACGGCATGAGCAGGATCTAGTGGCGATCAAGGATCTGCTGATTACAGAGCCTAAACCGTCCAAGGAGAAGGATTCTCAGCCGGAAAAACCTACTACTCTGGAGGGCGAGGGCGATAAGCCTGAGACTGCGGCAGAAGAAAAAGAGGGAGAGGAGGAGAAATTAGAGGAAGAGACCGACGACAAACTTTCTGGGCAGTTATTCCTCGTCCAGTTCCCACCCATGACGCCGAACCTCATCGTTCCCTCTGGTACCGACGGCGAAGGTGAAGCGCCCACCGAACCAACCACCACCAACCTCGAACCTCAACCAACTGAACCCACCGTCAAACACGAAGACACCAACGACCCCGAACTCATTACCGACACCACCACCCAACACCCTAAACTCGTCACCGCCAGCGACCAACAACTCCCTGCCGGCCGCGTGGGCAAACTCAACGTCCACGCATCGGGCAAGGTCACATTAGACTGGGGCGGAATTAGCCTTGAGCTAGACAAAGCAACAGACGTAGATTTTTTGCAGGAAGCGCTTATCTTGTCAACCCCGCCAACTCAGGCGGGGATGACGGCAGAGGAGATCAAGATGTCGGAAGAGGAGGAGAAGAGAGTTTGGGCGATGGGGCAGTTGAGTGGGAAGTTTACGGTGACGCCGGATTGGACGAAGATACTGTGATTGCACATTTGTATATAGAACAACATAAACCAGGTGGTCGGATGCTGCATGATCACGAGTGCCGACGTGTTCTGTAAGTGCGGAGTAGCGGGGACCTGATATGTCACCTGCTGGTGACGCGGTTTCAGTAAGTCGGATTTGTATACCGCATACTTGTACGGAGTAGTTCGTGCTCTACACACATACTTGTAGTAATACTAGTACGTGGTACTGTACCTGTCGATGAACCGCTGTATGTGCCTGTACCAGCCGATCACTATATATAGCTCAGATCCGAAACTCTCATAACTAATAACCAGCCTTATTAATTGCGCCAATCAACATCATTAACAGCCACATTTATTTTATGCAGGTTTTCAGAAGTTACATCATCAGCCACAAATACCGGGTTCAGTAAGATAATGCCCTGGGCATTTACCCAAAAAGGAAACGCCGAGGGTCGATGAGCCATCTCTTATTGGGTCCAGCCACCGGATAAGCTTTGGCTCGCAGCCACGAGTCCCTGACACGGCACACTTTAACCAATGGGAGAGCTGAAAATACAATTAAAACCCACTAAGGGGCTGGTGTGGGTACGCTAGTTCCTGGCCTAAAACGGGTTAGTCCACGCGGTTCTGGCCTGTCAGATACTGCGCCAAGTCTAATATAACCCAATAGGAGGCTCGGGTTGTTCACTGGTGGACACGGTACGGGGTTTTTCCTCGTCGTTTCGCTTCTCGCGGACCTTTCTTCCTCTTCCTCTTCTTCTTATCTTTGTGTTCTTCTCTTCTGTCACCCTCGTTTTCTTGGCTGTTACTGGTGTGTTTTTGATTGGTGCTACTGGCTACTGTTCGTTTTTCTGTGTTGCTGTCGGGACTCGTGGCTTGTCGCATTGTATTACACCTGCGCTACACTGCCTCTCGTATAAACGTGCTGCCTCCTGAACCTTCTCCTGTACGGAGGATTACCCCGGACAACGTCGCTTCAGTTTGCTGCATAGCCATTGCTCCATATAACAACAGTAGCGTCAGTCGTCCTTCCACTTTCCTACAACGGACGACTTTTCCTTATCGCCTCTATCTGCCGCTATCGTACTCCGACAACATGAGACCTTCCACCGTTCTTCTCTGCCTTGTGCCCACCGCGGCCCTTGCAACACAACAATCTTCCGCAGTTCAACCCTCCCCCTCGGTACCAAATGTTACTCCTCCCGCGCCATTACCAGAGCTACAACAACACCAATACCAGTATCAATACCAACATCCACCTGAATCCGTCCAAGAAGCCGGTGTCGATGCCGCTGCCGCACAACCGACAGACGCATTTGGCCTGGGGAAAACGACGTCAACAAAATCGCTGCAGGCACGAAGTGAAGGGACACTGGGTCAGTCACCGTGGATCGGAATGGCCATTGGGCTGACATGTACGGCTTTTGCGGCGGTCATGCTGGGATAACACCGGTCCACCAACTCCATGGTTATGCATATCCATGGCGGCTTGGTGCGAGCCATGGATTGGGTTGAATGCTCGACTTGCCCTGCATTTTCATCGTTATTTGAGCGCTCTTAAGACTTTTCGATTCTCTTCGCCATTTCTTTCTGCGAAAGCGCATTGATACCTTCGATTCTTCTTGAGGCATCGATCCTGCCTCGCGACGCTTTTATTATGATATATTACTTTTTTATTACCCGATTTTTTCTATTTCTCTTCTGCATCGTCATCGACTCGACTTCGACATCGACATACCCAGCACACCGAGAGTGAACTCGACTGCTACGTGTACATGACTATACCTTGAGCGCCTTCTTCACCACTTACTTTATATATACACTTACACTTGCATTTCTTGTGGATTTTGTGTGTTTGAGATCAGGTGACCCGTGTTATTTGATTTCTTGATGTATTTAATATTAATTCAGGCTTGAGGCTTATACTCATTTTTTGCGATACATACTGCTTTCCAGCTCAGCCAAAGGATTCCCCCCTGCGGAAATTAGGCCCTTGGACTGGAACAGTAGAGTTGTCCTCGTTTTCCGTAGGTGGCGGATCAGGACGATTTTAGCCTTTCACGGCCGGCTGTTTCCAGATACCAAGTGCAACAACATCCAGACTGTCCCTGTTGATGACAAGGGACCATTTGTCGAATACACTCAAGTTGGTCATCTGTGAGATTCATATAGATGTCATGCAGATTCTCGCCTGGGACGCGTGACAACAATTTAATGCACATTGCCACCAGGGTAAAGGGGAAACGACTCTGCAGGCTGTCTGACATTATCGATATATGCCAGGCCATGGCCGATTTGTCCGATGCCTTCGACCTTTTTAGCCTCTTCAAGATATTCGAGTATCGCTTGTTCTTTCGTATTCTGGAGATTCTCTAAATCGAATTCGTCCGGCTGTAGACTAGTATGGAAGTTAGCATATATTATATACAATGCAGCATAGCTACATCGCTGTTGAATATATTCACCCATATCGGAACTTGATCATAATGGGCTCATTTGTGTGGTTGCACCTTGTTGGGGTGGCGCTCCAGAACATCGTCCCTGTCCCGAAGCACCTTGTTGTAATGGCGCACCACCGCCTTGTCGCTGACCATATACTTGACAAGGTGCACTATGCCCTATCTGCCATTGGTGCCTGATGGCGGCTCACTCGGTTCTTAAAGTTGGTCAACGCGGTCTTGATATGTGATTCCGGAAGTACCACGGCTCCAGATATTGAACACAATGACTAATGGGCTATATCTGTTAATAACAAGGAAATTGGCCTTTGATATTCAGCGGTTCTTTTGACGATCGCCCATTTTGAAGTGGCCGGGATTCAATCTTGCATGTCAGTATCAACACCATATTTTATCGCAGGGGAGTACTCACTCATGAAGAATCTGAGCATAATCCCATCGCTGGTGTTCAAATTGCGAGCCAAAGCTGAAATACGTCGCTGTCCATATTTGATATCGGTAACTTCTGTGAGCTGTTTCTTGATGAGGGCGAGTCTGTCGTCAATCAACCCTCGTTTGCCGCCGAAGTCAAAGGTCTCAGCAGGCGTGATGGGCACACTGTCTAATGGGAAAGGAAGAAATGAGTAAATAGGAAGGGAAAAATAGGGGAGGAATAATGTAAAAAGATAGATTATAAGAAAGAGAATAAAAAAGAGAGGAAAAGAGAAGAAACTGCAGTTTGTTGAGTTGGGCGTTTGCCAAACCAACTAGCGGACGCCTAAGAAAGCAGGCGGTTCACTCGTTTGTTTGCCCTATTCTCTTTACTATTTGCAAGCACAATTATCTTATTCCTTCTTTCTTCCTTCTCAATTTCATCCTCATCCTCATCCCCATCCCTACGTTACCAGCAAATTCTTCTGACCATTTTATCAATGATCAAAAGAGAATTAAAACCAAAACAATGTCCCTCCAGTTGAGTCTCAGCAAGGAAAATAAGGCACTTGAATGATTGCATAAGCAAATGAGGTAACTAAGTTAATCCTGCAGTCAAAACCAGGATTGTGCAAACCTTGTGATTGCTACTTGAGATGGGGATCATGTCCAAGTTCAAGGCCCTATAGGCCTTCCTGGTGAAAAAGAATCAACAATAAAAAATGAGTTATAGCAGCGAGGCTTGGTACGTGGCATATAACTATCAGCCATATCAGTATCAAGCTGGCCTGAAGGGGCTGGCTTTTGTAGGTTGGTCAGCGCGGCATTTTAATGATAACCGCCGTTGTTTTCCCAACACATGTCCAAACATGATTCGTGGCAAGACATACGGACTACAGGTTCTTGGCCTCGAACCAGCTACAATCAGGGTGTTCTCGCTAGGCCAGTGCTTTCTCTACCCCTCGCTCGCTTGGGAGCTACATAACGGGACAACCATCTCGGACCGGTAAAAGGCAAGAAGATCGCCGAGTGGAATCATTAACGGGGACCCTATAGCTATGGCAAGGTGGGAAGGTTTCTCAACGTCGAAGCACCCTCGGCCCATGAGGAAGTGGGCGATTGGGCATGCGTTTTCATGGAGGAATGCCATCGTTATGGTAAGATTGGCAAATTCCTCACAGAAAAGTAACGAAAGCATAAGGGCATCGTATGGATGTCGAGCAATCAAGGGACAGATGTATAGATAATCAGATATTAATCAGCCATGCAATTTGGACCGAATGCTCCGATAATCAAATGAAAGAATAAGGTATAACACAGACTACAGATATCGAGAAGCAGACAGGAACATATAAGCAACAAAAGAAAGAGCGGTAGAACAAACTAGCAGATTATATCTTATGTCACTCATCATTCATGTTAATCAATCTAACCTGTCGTCACCCCTTCGCTCACTTCCCAACAGCAACAAACAATCGATCCCCAATATCCCCCAAACCCGGCACAATCATCCCCCGCTCATCACACCGCACATCAACCCCAGCAACCCAAACCTCAACGCCCCCCTCCCAGCTCTCCTGCACCCTCTTAACTCCTTCCTCCGATGCAAGCACACTAATCATAATCACACGTTTCACACCCCACTCTCGCAGTAGATGGATGGCCGCTTCGGCGGTGGCGCCCGTAGCAATAACAGGGTCCAGCAGGATGGCGGTTTCGGCGGTAGCTGTGTTGGTTGCTGTTGGGGTAGAGGTTGTGGTGGAGGTGTCGCGGTGGTAGGGGAGGTTGTTGTAGTATTCGACGGGTTGGAGGGTGGAGCGTTCGCGGAAGAGGCCGAGGTGGTAAATTGGGACGGGGGTGGGGAGGAGGGAGTTAATTGCTGTGCTATGTTAGCCTCTGGATGTAGACAAGTATGCTTGGTAGAAGGGGAGGGGATACCATCGGTCATGCCCAATCCCGACCTAAGGATCGGGACAATGGCTAGGTTGGTGGGAATCTCGCGAGTTTCATATTCAATCCCCAAGGGGGTTTTGTCCTGTACTATTAGATTCCTCTTCGGTATTAAACCAGGTAAAGGTGAACTCACTGTCTTCCCCGACACGGCAGATAAGCTGGCTAGAGCTTCAACGCCCAAAATGGTGGAGATCTCGGTGACCAGACTGCCGGTTTCACGGGTGGAAGTGGTGTGAGAGCGCAACTGGGAGAGCTTTGCCTGGAGGCAGGGATGGCTAGAGATGTGGATGGTCATGATGTAGAGTGGAAGGAAATTAGTAGAGCAATAGTATGGAGTGCAGAGAATTGGATAGAGAAATGGTGGTGAGTTGTAGAGGTGAGGTTGGACAGCTGCAGTTGGGGAGAGAGGGGTTTTATACGACCACGTGCAGCATCCCTTGTCTACAGCTTACTACTACTATTACTACTACTACTACTACTACAGCCCAGCTATGCTGTACTGTACAAGCACCAGGATATTTAGTATTACTCTGTATCCTCTATCAATGGTCTATTTAACCCCTCCCTATCTATTTACTCTCTATCTTATCAGATATCTTCGGAACCGCCCGATTGCCTGCCTGACTAATCACATCAATCTTGAATCCTTCTCCAACTTCTCCTCATGTCTATACAAGCCTATACAACACAAGTCCATCGGCAATATGCCACTCCACGACTGCGACCACGACTATGAACATAAAGAAGGAACTAGCATGCCCCTCTCTGAGTCCACCGTGCCCCCTCCAATCGAACCCGACCCTCACCAGCGCACCCCCCAACCCCCTGAACCCGAACTCGACCTCCAACCCAAGACCAAAGAGACCATCAAACCACTTTCCCAACACCCATCCACCCACCTCTACACCCTCTCCTACCTAATATTCTTCGCGGTATTTGGCACCCTAGCCCGCCTCGGCCTCCAATCCCTAACCTTTTACACGGGCGCGCCAATCGTCACAGGCGTACTATGGGCTAACGCAAGCGGTTCTCTACTCATGGGCTTCTTCCTAGAAGACAAGAACCTCTTCCGCGAAGAATGGGGCGAGAACCAGGAGACAATAGATGAGCATGAACGGTTGAAAGCGCATAAAGCGACTAAGAAGACTATCCCGTTATACATCGGCCTAACAACTGGTTTCTGCGGCTGCTTTACTTCTTTCTCTTCATTTATCAGGGACGTTTTCCTCGCGCTCGCGAATGATCTACCTGATCCATCTCGTGATCCTTTCTCGGGTCCTGTTTCGAGAAACGGGGGGTATAGTTTCATGGCGCTCATTGCGATCCTACTCATCACTGTGTCACTATCCCTCGCTGCGCTGGTCGCTGGCGCGCATCTAGCGCTTGCGTGTGACAGATTCACGCCCGTCTTACCCTTCGTGTTTACGCGACGTATCCTCGACCCCATTATGGTGATCCTAGGCTGGGGATGCTGGCTCGGCGCAGTCTTCATGGCTATCTGGCCACCAGACCGTCACAATTTGGAAACCGAAACCTGGCGCGGAGCCGCGATCTTTGCGATCGTTTTCGCACCGCTAGGCTGTCTCCTCCGGTTCTATCTCTCGCTATTCCTAAACGCCAAACTTCCCAGCTTCCCGCTGGGCACGTTTGCGGCGAATATCCTAGGAACTGGTATCCTGGGCATGTGCTATGATCTGCAACATATCAGTGGTATTGGTACTTCGGTGGTTAGTTGTCAGGTGTTGCAGGGTGTTATGGATGGGTTTTGTGGGTCGTTGACGACGATTAGTACGTGGGTTGCTGAGTTGAATGGGTTGGGGAAGCGGAGGTATGCGTATTTCTATGGGACGGTTAGTGTTGGTGTTGGGTTGGGGTTGTTGGTTGTTACCATGGGGAGTTTGCTATGGACGAGGGGCTTTGATACTCCTGTTTGCTAATTTTGTAGTCTCAGTAGCTATCTGTATATCTGTAAAGTAGTTCTACATAGTATCTAATACTCACTCTGTTTCATAGTTACATACGAATGCTTAATTATTGAACTTGAATATCCCCGCGAATATTTTCATTGCTTCAATTACTAACTTATAGTACAAGGTACTACAGCATGCACCAAAAAGAAAAAGATAAATAAACATAAACATTACCAAGAATCGAACCAAATCAATCAAATCAAATCCAAAAACACAGACACAAGCATAACATAATAGTAAACAAAACATAACACATTGCGGGGACTGCATAAACACATAGCATAATCAACCAGAACAAAAACACATTAAATAACCCAAATGGTCAAAAAATTGTAAGTTAAAGTGGTATAAAGGAGTGACTCGAAGTGTGAAAAGATGCATCGGAAGAAATGAAGATGATGAAATATACAATGACAAGCAAAAAGGTATCAATCAAACAAAATCGACAAGAAATAAAACACAACATACAACAAACGTGCTGATGCGCGCAGATGAAAGAAAGCACTAGAAATTAAGTGGGCGTAAATGTCAACGAAATCGAAGAAAAAGCAACGGAACTCCGTCAAGTGCTAGGGGGAAAGAGCACACAGGACCAGCCGGGTGTCGAGTTGTTGCTTTGGGTGAAAACAGAAAATGACCACACCGGACTCCTGTGAGTTCTTGCAGAGGAGAAACTCAAAGTAAAGCAGAAAGCAGCAAAACGTCGCAAATGCAGGGATATCAGCACACGGCGTAACGGACGCCACATGCCAATGCTTCCTACCCTGAATCCAAATCCATCATTGACCAAATGCATGAAACGAGTGAAAGAAAGAAAAAAAAAAAAAAAAAAAAAGGCACTAGTAAGCAGTGCCAACGCTGGCCAACGTCTTGGCCGGCATCGGGTGAATTGGCTGATCTTTGGAAATGCGCAACGAGTCCTCGTAGCCAACCAAGGCTTGCGAATGCAGTTTGAACGACTCGCCCATGAGCTTTGTGATTCTGTTTTCGTTAGCACCCAATCGATATACAGGAACGATAGAAGACTTACCCCCAGACTACGACACCGTCCAGGATGTTACCCCATACACGGGCCACAGTAGAGCTGAGTTTACCAAAGGAGTCCACGGCTTCATTGTCAAACAGGTTGCGCACTTTGTTGTAGAGGGCCAACTCATCCTCAGTCGCTGGCTCTTCGTCATGTTCCAGGCGGTAGAGCCAGAGACTTAGGATGACCATCAGATCCAATCCACACAGTGGATGCTCGACACTCCAGTTGGTGGCAGACGTCTTGGCTACCCAGTTGATGCCCTGGACCGCGGCGATCTCGATACATTCGAAGCACGACTGGATGACCTTGTTCATTTCCTGTCCCCGCTTAACCTTGTCGCGCGCGACGGTCATAGCGGCAGCAACTTCGTAGGACGAGTGGTAGCGCATGGCCTCCTGGATCGACTTCAAGTCGACTTCCAAACGGGCGCGGGTGTTGCGGTAGACGGCCATCGAGTTGAAGATCAAGGGATGGCAATTGTGCGGGGTGCTGAGGGGCACGACAACGGTCTCGGGCTCACACACGTCCAGGGAACTCTCCCATGTCTCCAAAGCCAAGCGAAGCTTGAACTCAGTGACCACGTCCTGGAGAGCCTCGAAGCTTCTCTTGTGGTTCCAGACCTGCAAGAACAGGGCGTTGATCAACACACGAGTCGCAAAGGCGCTGTAGCGCGTTTGCTCGCCCTGGAAGAGACAGTCGTGGGCTTCGCGAACAGTGAGTGATGGGCTGGCAGCCAAGTTGCGGCGCCAGGCCTCATCATCACCGCCCTCCCAGTTCCAAAGCGATTCCGACGACGGCAGTTCCATGGTGTCGAATTCATCAAAGCTCATTGCTGGGGTGTGGTTGTAGGTCAGCGTGAGCATACCGAAGAAGATGTAGACGGCGTAGTAAGTCCGACGGCACGACTCGTCATCAATCCACTCTTCGCGTGTGGGAACTGCTTCCCGCGCATCGCACCGCACCTTGAGTTGATAGCGGTTACCCGAGACCATGTTGGCCAGTAGACTCTTAATGGAGCAGGTCCATTCAAGACCTTTGGGATCACCACTCCAGCTCTCGAAAACCATGTTGAGGAGTGTACTCTGCATGGCCCAGAGAGGGCATTTTCGCGAGTCAAAATTGTCCTTGTGCTGCAAGAATTGGGTGACCAGCATCTTCGAACCCACGTGCATCATGAAAGCCTCCTCACGCTCAAACGCGTACAGCGCACCGATAGAGAGCACAGCAAGCAAGAGCGGCGGCGAGACGGACGTGGGCTTGAACGACTCTTGGTGCAGAAAGGGCAGGTGTGCGTGGTACAGGTTGAAGTAGGTGGAAAGGTACTTGTTCAAGGCAACCGTCGTGGGCAGCTGGAACGCGCTGGGCAATGCACCGAGGGAGTCAGCGTTTCGTATCCGCTCAACCAACATGTTGCGCTCGATATCGTTGGCGACCTGTGGGGCCTTGGGAAGCGTCAACATTTGGCTGGGACCAGGAGACTTGCGATAGTTGACAGGGCTGATGGGACCGGTCATGGAGGGAAACGGCGACAGCGCGTTCGGGGTCGAGTTACCCGACACAGGCAGGGTGTTCATGAGCGAAGGTCCAAGCATGTCGCTGCCCATGTGCGACATGGGACGGTCCATCAAGGAAGGCAAGGGCTGGTGCGAGTCTGCGATTGCGTCGGTGGTTGTGAAGCTGGAAGCCATGGACGAAGCGGGGTGTTTGACATCGAGGGAATCCCAGGGCATTTGCGGCAGTGTCGCATTGCTCGACAGATACGACACGGGGGGATCAAGTATCGAACCGCGACCAGGCGAAAACGAACGGTCGGATTCCGCGCGTTCTTGGGTAGCAACAGTGTTGTTATTGTTATTGTTGTTGTTGGAAACGCCTGCGGTCGCGACGGTAGGTGTGGTGGTCTGGCCCGTTGCGGCAGCTGCGGCCTTATGTTGGAAATCTGTCATCAACATGGCTGCAGTTTCAAGGTCGACCATACCATCGCTGCTTGCCTCAAGCTGTTCCAGGGTAGTTGGATCGATGGTGATGTTGGGCTTGGAATGAGCTGCCGGAGCAGGGGAGGACTTCTGAACCCCGGCGTTACTATTCCCACCACGTCTGCGCCCTTCAGCCACCAAGGGAACCCCACCATCTTTGGCGTGAACCGTACGGTCATGACGGAGTAGGAGATCGCGACGGACGAAAGTACTGCGACATTTCATGCACTTGAAGGGCCTTTCTTTTGTGTCTTTGGAAACTGTTAGCTTTCATCAACCGGGTAGTATGGAGAGGACAGCGACTTACGAGAACGCTCATGTCGGCTGCGATGTTCACTTCTGCTGAATGCGCGATTGCAAAATTGGCACTTGTATTTCTTCTCTGGAGCGGATGTCTTTTTTGCCGGCGAGTTGGATGCCGGAGCAGTGTTTGGTGCCATTTCGATAGCGGGAAAATACCAGTTATCGCGTGAACTGTAGACGGAACTGCAGAGAAAGATGCGATATTGTTCCCTCGGTAAGTTCAGACCGGTTCTGGAGACGAGAAGACGACAGAAGTTCGGAAGGGAGTCTGATCATTCCTTGGGAGCGGGGAAGGCACAACAGCAGTAGTATTATCTAGGAGGTTGAATCCAAAAGGGGTAGAGAGAAAGAGTCCAGCCACAGGCGGACAGAGATAATAGTAACAGTCAAATAGTAGAAACAGGAAAGAAAAATAATTCTATCATAGAGTAGAGAGGGGTATCCTTCGTAAAGCCGCGGGGAGAGGGGATAATATTGCGGCGGGATGTGTGCGTGAGGAAGGGAGGGAAAAAGAGGAGAAGGGAGAAGAGGGGGGATGAGAGAAGAAGAGAGGGAAAAGAGGTGGTATTTCAGAGGTTAGAGAAAAAGAGAGAAGAAAAAGAGAAGGAAAAAAGAAGGGAAAAGGAAAAGAAGGGGGGGCTGATGGGATAAAAAGAGAGAAAAAAAAAAAAAAAAAAAAAAGTGGGAGATGATTCCTGGAGGGGGAGAGGAAGTGGGCAGTGTGCGTGGATGTACTGTATTTTGTAGTGGTGATAAGAGTCCCTCGGGCGACGACGATCGGGGCGGTCGCGAACAAGTGAGGCGGGTGTGGAGTCCCCCTCGGTTACACTCGTTACCGTACGACGAGGGGCTGCCAAGATTACCACACACGCGGTAGTGTGGCCAATCCCGACGCGTTTATACACACGTATGGTATTATTTGTATTTATACGGGTACAAGTACCTGTATTCATACTTCGGATGTCCTCCTGAGTTTGTCTACGTAAGGATGTGAGGGACTATTACTCAAGTCTGAACAGTAAAACATAACCCCTCGGCCCCTCGCGCCCCTCGTTACCCCTCGTCGAGTGGGTATGTTTACTCAATGGTCCTGTTTTCTAGCATGTCATCTGACAGAACCACAACCTTGGTTCGGCGGGGCCCGTCCTATCTACAAGTACAAAGTACAGTTATGTTTTGTACTTGCGAGTGCTCTGCACTTGTAAAAGTACAAATATTTTCTATACAAGTAGAAAGTAAGATGTATAAGTTAATATAATAGCAGGGATTCTACAAGCACTACCCCTGTCTCCCGTACTCCTCTTCATTAATTCGTAAGAATGCAAACGGAAAACAAACAAAGTTAGGGCTTATCGGATCCGGCTTTCCACATGCTAGTCCCAATGGGGTTAGGTCACCCTTCATTAGATCTGTCTCATACAAGTACACCACTCATGAGACTTGACACAAGTAAGTTATTGATTCTATCAGTGGCAAGTATGTGACTGGTCTCTTTTCTTTTTCTTCTACTATGTGTCTTTTCTTATAGCCACGGCACCAACCTTCATATTCCAGCTGTACCTGTACTCCGTACTGGGCTTACTAAGATTGACGTGACTGGTGCCCCTCGATCTTACGTATTCTTTCCCATGCGCTCAGTGGACTGCATCGGCGAATGACCATCGCGCACGATCAATAATTCGATTAGCGGGTGATCTCGTCCAGGATGATGTAGCTGCACGCTGCACAGCTGCCCATTAACGGGATATTTGTACCGCTATTTATGGAGCGGTACGGAGTACACGTCTGTACTTGCACACCACGCTGTTGTGTACTTGTACATGGATGATGTATACAAATCCGCTCTCTATCTACAAGCATGTCTAGACAACATACTCTAATATCTACAAATCTTGCATTCTAACAATACTAAGTCTACAAGTCTACAAGTACAGTAAACCGGATTAGACAAAAGACAATCTGTGCGGTGGATCCATCCTCATTCCGTCCAACACGGTAGTTACTTGGGTAACCCAATACACCGACATTATCCCTGGGCTTCGCTTGCTTCACTTAAAACCACCGACTATTAGGAGAATATGTGTCGCTGATTTATGCATCTCATTCCCAACATTCTGCACATGTACCTGAGTGTGTACACCGATTCAATTTCTGTTCTTTTATTGGTGTATCTGTACGGAGACTCCGTGGTGGTAATCGTACTGTATCCGGAGTGGGTGTTCAATCGGTCCGGAGTAGACAAGTGCATTTGTATCGTGCTCCGTAGGCTAGAGTCTAATCTCACGGTTATTCTAGACCTTTTTCGTGAAATTCCACCGCAACGGTATTTGTTCCGGAGTATGTACGGATTCTGCATCGTGTTGGCTGGATATATATTTCCGCCCCATGCACATTATTCATACCTATAACATGCAAAGTCCCTCTTTCCCTGGTCATATGAACTATACAAGCACACCATAACCCCCTATTAATCTACATACGCTGTCTATTCCGTAAATCAGAATTGAACACATGGAGAAACCCAAGAACGACGACTGAAACATCACCAAAACAATACCTCATGGCTGCAACGTGAACCATGTTCCTGCCATTTCCTCCTTGCTTCTTCAATCCCAGGAATGAACTTCCTCTCACTTTAGTCAGGCACTCTACATAGTAAACAAGTGGGTATCTGAATTATGAAGACTTGTAATTGTATGGAGCTGCCAACGTTGATCAACGTGTGTTAGGCTGTTTGATATGGCGTTCCATACTCCTGGGAGACAGTTTAATTATTGAGGGCATGTGGGCTATTGCCCACATGCATAGTATCGCATCGCTACCAAAAATCAGAAAGTATGAATGCATCCGACCAGGGCCCCTCCTGTCTATCGCCCATAAACCAGCCCCTCCGTATACAGGCGCACTCATAACCCCTCCCCCCCCAAAAAAAATAAAGGCTGCTGACTGCCCCTCACAGACAAGGGATAAGATAGTCAGTCGTAGATCCATGGGCACTCTACGAGTCACCTACAAGTACACTCCATCTACTCTGGACTCTGTCATTCGCAAGAGCAAAAGGTACGGCCCCTCCCCCTTTTCATTGCTTTTTCTTTCTCGGACGGATTGTCGCAGATAAAACCCCACCCGGCCTTCGAGAATGTTTCTGGGCCAATCACGAGGGGTAGCGGGGTTCTTTGACTCTGCTTGCGATTGTTGTGTTCCTGGAAGGACGGAAGCCTGGAAGTGAAAGTAAAAGGTGGCTGGCTGCTTGTTATTGAGACGAGGGAGTGATCCGATTGAGTAGCCGGGCTGGGCTTATTATTCCGGTCGTAGGACAAGGTTGATGAGATTGATAATTGGGCATACGAGGAAATACAGTTTAGTATTAAGATTTATCCACGAATATGCAGATTCCTCACGCAATTTGAGATTCGAGAACGGATCTTCGCATTCCATTGAGTGTCTGCCTTCTATGCGTATGAAGCATTTCTACGGTGTACTTGTACATTGTACGGTGCGATTTATAGCAGAACCATGGAACAGACCCGTCACCCCGGATAAGTCCCATGGTTCTTTATCAAGAGCATTGGTGGAGATTCAATTGTTATCATAGTTATCATAGCCTTGTTCTAACGACTACAATTGTAAACGGCCAAAACAAAAAACACGTCCTAGCGACACGCGAAAAGGGAACTAAAACCCCCAAACAAAACAAAGGGATAACTAGCGTCGCCATATCATACCATTACATACCATACGCCACCAGTGGCTGTTACATACCATACATACAAGTACTCCGTATGAGTTAAATACATAAATACACGCACAAAAAGCGGTCAATACATCCACCAGCTAACCTAGGTCCAAAGCAGAGCAGGCCGACCAGGCATAGGGCAAGGCATAAGTAGTAGCCGGGCCTCACCGACTCGAAGGTCGTCGTCGACATGTGTGGATTCGGGCTAGGTCTTATGTCCACGTCTTATTCATTCATAACTGGGATAACACTGGTTTTTAGTTTGCGGAACGGGGACCGCGGAAAGGGTTCCTGAATTGAGGGTGGGTAACAAGTACTTTGTCGCTTAAGACATGCCTAGAGTAGAGTATTGGATGGATGCTCTGCGAAATATTGTTATATTAATTGAACCCTGCACGATGGCGGTATGCCATAGCCATCACCCACCCACCATTCCCCTCCATCCCCATCTGGTATCTCTTCGATTCTCTTCTATTTACTTACTTACATGTATGCAGTCAACGTTGCCCTGGGACGGACCGCTGCATGGTCCGGGAGAGTGGATCATCCCGACTTTTTTTTCTCGAAGAACGGAGTTTAGTAAGAACAAAAACAAATAAAATAAGAGGGCGGCTGGACGCGTAAGGAAACTAAGAAACCTGGCGGCGTCACCGCTTGTAGCTGAAAAACGTAACCTGACCGAGTGTGTGCAAAGGATTCCTTAGTGCGCGATACAAGAATAATACGGAATACACGGACGGAGGTCTCGGAGCGGTCGCAATTTTGTGATTGGTTGGTGGGGTGTGGATTCGCACGTGATTGTGCGTGATTCTTGACTTGCCTTTTTGGGATGTCAGATGACTTTCCGGTGATGTCAGCATAAGCATTGAGACGGGAGGGATTGTGCATAGTTTATGTATCATTTATGTTGGCAAGATGAGCTGGAACCCTAATAGTTACACTGTTATGCTGTTTGCCGTGTTAGGTCTATTTATGCGATTGATTTGACAGCAGGTAGACAGATAAAGACGACATTTCAGCTTAATGTTTGCTGGCTGTGTCCTCCAATGATACAATTCCCCATGAGTATAGATTATCTCCAACATGCTCAAAGTGCGTGACATTTTCCTGCTTTTTTGGGCCAGATTCACGTCCAATTTGGCAATAATTACACGGAGGGCGACGCTCCCCTAGATAATGCCGTGCCACATATTGAATTGGATTGGTTAAATAGAAACGTAATGGAAATCATTGAACAGGGGTATTCTAGAGTAATTGAATTAACTGCAGCTAAAGAAGAATCAAGGAATAGCAACGTTGTCTTCATGCAGCTCCAAAGGATAATATTGCTGGCAATAGAGGGGCGGGCAATGAGGAAGATGGGGTGCATTATTACCAAAGGAAGCCTGCCAAGACGTATATCTGGTAATATTCTGATTCAGACAGGCGACTAAGTAAGGTTAGCTAAAGTTCTAGATTCATTGCTTAAAGTACACGGCAGCGCCTTTAGTTTTCCTGGGCGTATCGTATAGAGGTATTCCGTGAGCCTAACACAGGAACCTTACCTTTTCAAGAAACCAGTTCTCCAAATTCCTCAGCTTCGAACTCAGGAGAAGATGCACACTTGAATGTGTGGTGCATGGCTCTATGGATTTCAAGATCAAAATCGGGATTTTCATCAAGATATGTACGATAACAATCTTGGGACCGTCCATCGCAAAGAATTGGCCAGGACAGCCGCGACGGCCAGTCCAAACCCATAAAGCTCCGTGTTATTACTGGCCAGTTATGCTGCACTTTCTTGGCCGGGATTTTAACGTAATTGGTAGATTCGGTAGCTTAGGACTTGGCCGCTATCACTGTACTTCAAATACCGGCCGATTCCCATGTGCATATCCTGGTGGATTTGTCGAGTCTAGTTCTTGTGGATATTCCACCTTGTGTGGAACCGTCGAGTCCAGTTCTTGCGGGAAGAAATCCCGTTGTTGCGACTGCTGTGGTAAAGAAGCAATATACGCAGCATCCGCTTTTTTTGTCTTCCCTCGTCGCCAAAATATCAACCATGCGAGACTTCCCAGGATTACTACCCCTGCACCTACACCAACACCCACGCCGATACCAATTGTTTTCGAATTTGACCCACTGGTAGTGCCATTACTCGACGCAGTTGACGTGGGGATTCCCGATGTCGTAGCAGATGATCTAGTTTGCGTGGATGCCGATGCCGTTGTTGCAGTCGTCGTTGGAGCTATCCCAGCTGTTGCAGTTACATCAGGGTCAGGCAAAGTCAACCGATCAACGCTCGAATCACTGCAGCAGTCGTCGGCTGAGCAGCAGTATGAAGTCGAGTTTTTGCCGCAGCGCATAACCCATTCGCCGCCGGTCACGCTTTCTTTAGGAGCCAACCATGTCAGCACACCGGATTCTTCTGAACCATTTGCAGTACCGATTTAAATTTATTCTTTGATAGACTCACCAGCCACACAATACCCCGGGCACTTATTCGAAGACCAAGACTTATCTGTGCATGTCCCGCGAATAAGCTGTAATGGATTCCCAGTTGTGTTGTCGTACCACCCTTGTGGTTGGCAGAGCATATTCGCTGTGCAGATGAAGCCTTGCGTGCAACATACGCTGACAGAGGCGGTGCTGTTACAGGGAACATCGTTGGATACTGAGCCATCGGGGTTGTAGCAAAGAGTTGCGAAGGTGAGGTCGACCACTTGGAGGAAAAATAAGGCGATAGCCAGACGGGTTCTGCGGCTTGTTATTTGCATTCTCGGGCTCAATATATACTTATGAACCGGCCATGAAGTTGTGAGCAGGCCCAGCAAGAAGTAATAGGGGAGAAAGAATTGCAACAAAGACGATCCTGAATAGTAATATCAAGGCGGACGGGCAAGACAAAAAAAGTCAATAATCCATTAAGCGCCTGTCTGAACCAATCAAGCTTGGCTGCGCTCGACTTATATTAGGTGTGATAGGGACGCATTATCACTATCGCTCTTAACTTGCTTTGGACTAGTTCCTTAAAACCGCAGATGAGTGGTCAGCACGTGAACCTACTTAACTGAGTCCAGCGCTTAATTCTGGAGGCTATAGGGTTCAGACTGAGGCTTTACTTGTAAGTTAGAGAGGCACGCCACGCCCCCTCTGCCATAGCCACTACTCAGATTTGGTTATTACTCCCTTCTATAACAATTCAGCTCGCCGGAATTTTTAACAGTCTGGTTGTGGGACTTTGCGCTTGAAACGCCGCGGCGATGGTCCCTCATTTGGCGGATTATATAATCAATACAGTTGGCTAGGTCAACTAACTAGCTAGTTACAAGTTCGAGTTATATTAGTTGCCGCAGCAGGGTGATGAAAGTCGAGGTGGATCAATAGTTTGTCCGATTATCGAGGCCAACAGATCCCTCATATACGGACACACACACTCGTTTAGATAGCCAAGCACTCATTCTACCATCTACGGTGTCTATAGATATCATTGTCACCCTCCGTGTAATCTAAGTTTCTTCTTCATATATAGCCTCGTGCAGTCCGGATAATCGACTCCCCGACTTCCCCGACTCGGAGTTCAACCGCCTCATTGGTCTATCCGTGTCAGTTGGAGCAGCACTTCTTTACACTTTGAATTAGTTTGTGCCTAAACCAAACTGATGCGGACATATCGGCACTGTAGAAAAGGTTCTAGCCTTATAGATCTAATCAATCAACCAGGAGACATCGCAGCCTCACCTATTTAATCCACTCTAATGGTGACGGCCGTGTCATTCTCAACCGTGCCAACCGCTCAATTGTATATCGAGCAAATGTCCCCTGGGCCAGGAACCAATCTTAGACGGCAATTAGACCTGCCAATACCCAAGCCCGTCGTCACTCCTATAAATGATGCTTAGGGCTTTTGTATACTCCCAATACTTCGAATACCAGCCACACATTTCCCAATCAATAATTGCTTTGATCTCAAGCTGAGTCTGTGAAGAAACATTTCCTACGTTAATTGCGGTGCTGGAATACTCTTGAGAAAGGCACTGTTCTCGCTCTCGTCCTGGTGAAATTGTCGTGGAGTGAGTATAACCATGATGTTTCGCGGATGGAGGTCGCTATGCGTCATCGCTAGTTTGTGATTGATCTCAAGATGTAATTTTATCACATCAGTATAGTGAGCTTCCTCAGAATGCTGTTGGTGCTTGGTGAGAGACTGATTGAACTCATGCTCATTGCTGATGGGCCCTTCCGCAACTCGGATTCATCTCCATGTCTCTTTGCAGCAGCGAGGGATCTATACCACCAAGTACTGCATTAGGCTTATTCTCATCGACCGACGGAGCTGGTATAGGCTTTTATTTGTCAAAGATGGTATTTAATTTGATCTCAGATCGAAGTCCTTTGTTCCTTGTCGAAGAACTCCCATGCTGAATCAAGTGGCTCACCAGGAATCCGTGTCATCAATATAAAGCAGTTTCCACTACTAGGTTGCTGTAAGATCCCATGTGTTCTGGTGCTAGGATAGTGATCTGCTGTTGAATGTAATACAAGGTAGAGATGTGACCGATGTTAATGTCGCAGCCAAGTTCCACCGTAATCTCCGAGTTCAGGCACAATATCGCTCTTATACTCATTCCCAGATGTGAGATAACCTCACTAGTAACCACTAGCCGGTTGAGGCCTTTCATAGGTGATCATTCGCTAGCCAGACCATCACAGAAATACCATATGCCAATTCTGGAATAACTTCAAATTTTGATTGGAGAAATCATGGAGGTGTACTGGGTGGAAGCCTCCATGTTGATATTTTTCAGCCCACTGAACAACCAAATCTGTATCCTCAAAGCGGTCGTCCATTTTTGATAGCGATGAACTTATGAAAACAACAATGTATTCGTTTTATTATGTCGATAGCCAAAGGACTCGTTGGAGAACGAGGAAAAAGAAAGGAGCGGGTCGCTAAACATTTTGTCAAAGGCATGTCATACTGTCATAAGGCTTTCTGCTATAATTGAAAAGTCCTACATTTTTATCTTCCAAGCTTTTGTTGTCTCTGCATCAAGCCCGACAGTTGTATCACCCCTAACAAAGTCGGCCTTATCTCGTTATTTTGTGTTGCTGCTATAACTATGACCACTACTTACAAACGTAGCATGCAAAGAAGAGGTCAAACCAAGCGGGGTCTGCTATTGTTCTATAGCACGTCACATGACAGGCTCGAAGAACCAGATATTTTCTGCTACTCTCCTTCCTCTGCCCCTCCCTGTTCTTCTACTTATCAGCCAATCTGAGCTCTGTCGTCATTTAAAGTCCACCATGGACAAAATAGTGAACAAGGAAATGCCAAGGAAACCCTATGCCATCGACGAAGACGGTGAAGTGATCATGATACTCGAAAATGCCAATGCCCCTTTTGCAGTCTGGAGTGAGAACAAGAAAGACGTCGAAATATCGCAGGAATCAGAGACCAAAAAAGAAATAACAAAATATGAGTATCGCATCCAAGTCTCCGCAAAGCATCTGATGCTCGCATCACCTGTGTTCAAGAAAACTCTGTCTGGGGGATGGGAAGAGAGTATCACCCTTGCCAAAAAAGGCCCAGTGGAGATCAAAGTAGACAGTTGGGATGTTGGGGCCTTTGTTATTTTTTATGAAGACTATCCACTGTCGACTCAATGCCATACCGCGTAAACCGAATCCGGAACTGCTCTCCAAAACCGCTGTTTCGGCAGAATATTACGGATACCTTAATATAATGAGCATCTTCAGGGATGTCTGGATCAACCAACTGCGGAGCAACTTTCCTACATCACACTGTCGAGATGTGCTTTTGTGGATGTGGATCTCGTGGGCCTCCCGGGTTCATGACCTGTTTCAAAAAGCAACCCTGACTGCAATGGCACAAAGCAACGGATGGATTACGAGCCTGACACTGTCAATCCAAGGTAATTTTATTGGTATGGATTCCAGGCGAGGCCTTTGGATTTGTTATAAACTGACTGATAATGCTTGTAAGACACCATAAATGACCAGCGGCAGAGTGCCGTTCGCAACATCGTTGACTCACATAACCAAAGAAAGAAGACCTTCTCCACAGCTATTGCCATCCTTGTAATGTGGTGGCACTTGGTAATCTCATGATGGAAATGAATTCGAACGGTCTTTTTTCACCAAAGCCAACTGCTTCATTCCTGGGAATCAGTCTCTGTGAACTTGAAGCCAAGGTGCGCTCCTTCGGAGTTCCCTCATATCATTCGCGATCTTGCTGTTATAACGGCTATGTCTATTTCAGACATTTCAGGGACAGTGATTCGTTCGATTTACTGCCTGAGCGACCAAGTAGTACCAAGAACGGCCTGGAGCTGAAGGCATTTCAAGGTAGTTGAGGACCTCTCTATTGAGCCCTGGGAAATCGTAATATGACACCTTTAATAGGACAATTATTGGTGGCTGAGTGCTCAGCCATATTTGTTAATTTTCTCTGGGCAGTCATTTGTATTCTAGAGGGCAATGGAATGGCAAATGTTCGGTAGTTCTTTAGGGATGGCGTCGTGCTTTGTAAGCGGAAGTAACAAAAAGTCCCGAGTTCCGACTTCCGTCCGGGGATTTGCAACTCCACCACGGGGCAGCACATTCCTATACATCAGATGGATTTTCAATTTGTACTCCGTACTTGTTGAATCTTGCGTTGCAGGACTTTCAGGTACGAGCACTCTCCTGGTTTTGCTATTTGCCGGCTACACCTGCTCTCTTTCCGGAATATCATACTCTACATGCCTCCCCGCCCCAAGATTTGGCATTCTGGGTCTACTTGTACAATGCCGAGCCACTAGTGTTGAAGGCATTACTCCGGTCAAGAAACTTGTAATCCTCCCCCGAGCCCTATCGTAATCTTGCTGTTTCGGATGTTTCTAGTCCCACAAAAACCCGCAGCAAGTTTACGCAAGTCCCTCCCTCTCCATAATGGGAGAACTTCAGCGAACGAGATGGCTCAGATTACTACCACAGAGGATGGGAAATTGCCTATAAAAGGGCTGCCCGATCCTCTCATTTTGCGTCTATCAGCAGCAGCACAACTACCACCACCATGCAGCTTTCCACTCTCCTCGCGGCAGCAACACTCGCCTGCGCGGCGGTTGCTCACCCCGGCCCTCACACTCACATTCCCCGTGCGGAGATGGCCCGCCGCGCCGACCTATCTTCTAAGTGCTCTGACAAGGTAGCCCGGTTCAACGAGAAGCGTTGGAAGCGGAACCTCGCCAAGCGTTCCAGTAGTGGCAATTCAACCTTCCAAATCACCACGGAAGCACCTCACTACCAAACCATCCAGAATGAGACCTGTGTGCTTGCCCCCGAAGTGACAGAGGGTCCGTACTGGTGGCCGGAGTCGCAGACCCTGCGTCAGGATATGACGGAGGACCAGTCTGGTGTTCCTTTATGGCTGGATGTGGGTGTGCTTGACATGGCGACTTGCGAACCGCTCGAGGGCGTTCTGGTTGACTTCTGGCACTGTAATGCTACTGGAAGCTATTCAAGCTTCACGGGATTGTCTCCTAACACGCCATTCGAGACGCTGTTGAAGCAGTTGAATGTATCGGATTATGGAATGGGTTCGACCGATTTGCACACCGACGACACCACCTTCTTGCGCGGAATGTGGCCAACTGACAAGAACGGAATGATGGAGATGAAAACCGTCTTTCCTGGTACATCACTATCTACTTTTCAATTGCCGAAGACTACTCTAACCTGAATAGGCTTCTATATCGAACGCGCCATCCACATCCACGTCCAAGTCCATAGCGACTGGTCTCTTCGTGGAAACGGCACCATAGCCCACAGCGATACTATCAGCACCGGCCAACTTTATTTCGATGAAGCACTCGAGCGCAAGATCATGGCTCTGGAACCCTACGTCTCGCATACGGAAATTAACCGGACCACCAACGCCGTCGACTCGGTGTTCTCCCAAGGTCTTGACGGTGGATACAACCCTGTCATATCTGTGGAGCCTGTGAATGGCGAGGATGTAACCAAGGGAATGATTGGGTATGTCACCATTGGTGTCGATACGACTGCGGTAGAGAGCTTTGGGAAGAAATAAGGATGTGCTCCGTGCTGGACTGAGTGTCATGTCTTAATTTATTATATTCAATTAGTAAACGCAACCCAACATCGACCAACCCTTCAAGTGCCCAAAACGAGGAATTAATTGTCTTATTTGATTTACCTGTCGAGAACGAAATTCATATCTTTTGAAGTTCAAAACACCAACTTAGAAGCTTCCAGAAATCGTGATTGGTGCTTCATCCGTGAAGAATGTGACAAATTATTGTAAGACTAGGTCGAATGGCAGCTCTCGATCCCTGAGTCCCTAGAGTAGATCTTTGTCAAAAGCACCACCGGTGACCAGCAGCGCGAGGAGAAAAGCGCCTCCACAGTCCGCTTCGACATGTCACTCAAAGCTCCTAGAACCATCATTCGAGCTCGAAGAACAACGGACAAGAACCATTCTGATGGGACAGATTGAGAGGCGTCCGCCTGCGGCTTACGGGTGCGTCTGGCAAAGGGAAGACTTATACCTTTTTCTGAGCGTCGTCCGGCGCGTCCGCTGCGCCAGTTGTATGCGTATCGATTGGTGATTGAACCCCCGTCCGGGGATAATCCTGATTGGAAAAAGTTTCGTAGCCGACCGATTCCTGATGCCGTGCAGACCCAGGAGGAGCAATGAGGGAACATCTTTTGTAAATCATGGATTAATGAGATGAAATGAAGAATTGACTATTTTCCATTTTCGGAAACGCGGATCCACAGTGTCTTTCCCTGCCGAACCGAACCGACCGATTGTTAAATGTGAACACATACCACCAATTGCAAAGCACTAACACCCTACAAGAGCCATGGGAACACAGCCCGATAACAGAATACTCCGTCGAGCCAAGGTGGGTGTTGTCATCCGCTGGTGCTTGACCCTTCTAACCCGATAATTAGGCATGCAATACATGCCGGCGAAAGAAAGTGAAATGCGATGGGAAACGGCCTATTTGTTCGTCATGTAATACATTCAACCTATCTTGTACTTTTCAGGATGTCGTGAGACAGCCAAGCCGCTCGGGCCCGTATGCCTTGCCGTTCATTTTTCAAGACGTCAGAGCTAACACTTGCTTGCAGAGCATATATCGAAGAACTAGAGCGCCGGGTCAAGAGCTTGGAGCAGCAATTGCAGCAACAAGTCCGCTTAGGACATGAAACTCAACAGAATGCGGATGCTCAGGAGCTGGCTTCAATAAATATCGCTGCGACCATCACGGATGGTAATAGTAACGATGCTACGGGAAATACCTGCAGGAGACTTGGCCGGATTCCAGAGAAAGGTGGCTCTAGCAACCCGGATGGCGACGGAGCTGATCAAGCCTCTAGTGTTGTTGAATCAAACGATGGCAAAATGCGATTTTTCGGTTGGTTACTTCAGGATATTAGAAATTCTGTTGAAGCTGACACAATGTAGGAGCATCTTCCGGATTCTGCGCACCTTCTTCCACTCTTGAAGCGGGCGAACAGGAAAGCAAGAATTGGACAGCGGCATGGCGCACAGCAACACAACAGAATGCTAGTCGATGGCAGCTGACAAGCTGGATCCCTCGCACATTACAAGATGGGTTCGACCAACGTGTCTTCCGGTCTTTGCCATCCAAGCAAACAACCGTACAGCTGGTAGAGGAATTTTTTGCAACCTTCAATCAAGCTATCCCACTATTTAACGAACTATCCTTCAAGAGCCTACTCGAGAAACAATTTTGCTGGAACCCCGACGACAGTCCTTCATGGTGGGTGTCACTCAACATTGTCCTGGCCTTCTCGTACAGAGAAAGGGCCCACGCATCTTCAGACGCAAGCGACAACTGGCAGTCATGCTTCGGACACGTCCGCAACGCAATGAATGCCGTGGCCGAGCTTTTCATGCGCAATACAGACCTCCTAGCTGTTCAAGGGATACTAGGATTGGCTCTGTTTTTCCAAGGCACACCAAACCCGCAAGCACTTTTTATGCTTGCAGCTGCCGCAATGCGCATGTCGCATTCTATTGGGCTACACAGGAATAATATACCCCGGTTAACACCAGTGCACATCGAGGAACAGCGCAGAACATACTGGGTTGCATTTATCTTAGATGCTGATATCTCTCTTCGAGTTGGTCGTCCGCCGATTCAGGACTTGGAGGATTATGACGCACCTTTGCCGGCTGAGATCCCTCATGATGGGAAGGGTATGATCCGTCTTGAGGGGATTGAGATTAATTTCTTCCGTCTGCTTGCGCAATTTGCTTTGATCCAACGGCGTCTCTATAAGAGTCTTTACACGGTTGCTGTGCATCGACAACCTCAAGTGAACATGGTAGGCGAAGTCAAAGCCTGTGAAGAAGCCCTTCAAGAATGGAGGGACATGATTCCTCTTACCCTCCAGCCTCAGCGCGCATTTGCTATCGCACCCGATTACTTTCTACAGCATTTCCTACGATTACACTTTGCATACCATTTCTGCTACGCAAATCTTCACCAGGTTTGCATGCTCAGGGGCCAGACTGACAGATCCACAAGCCAAAGCGCTGGAGAAGGGATCAATTCAACCATTATACAGTCACTTGAATCAGCACGGTCTGCTGTCGAGTTACTAAAGTATATTCGCTTGCTAGGATTCACATATGAATGGTAAGTCGTTAATAGCTCCTATAGTAGCCAGTGGCCCCAGCTAATGTGTTGACAGGAACGTGCTTTACTTCCCCGCAACAGCTTCAGTGACACTAGCTCTGCATATAATGGTATGCCGGAATCACGAACAGGCTCAAGCAGATCTTTCCGCGGTTTGTCAGACGGTCGACTTTCTGTCTGGTGTCTCATCTAGGGAACCTGGTACTTACGTTGAGTATATCCTAGGTATATGCTCTGATTTACAGAATACTGCTGTGCGGTATCTTACCCACGCTCAAAATGACAATCGCCAGGAAATATCCGTTGCAGATGAGAAAAACGGGAGAGATAAGGACAAATGTATAAGTACTCATATGGACACCACGGTTTCTACAGTGGGGTTGACAAGTGACGACCCTGCAAGCAACTTTGCGAATGGGCGCTCTGAGAACGGGAATTTCGGGGCTTTAGATGATTTGGATGTGAATTGGCAATGGCCAATTTCTCCATTCTGGAACTGGCAGGATCTGAATGGATAGCATGCGGGATAAACGAATATTATTTAGACCTGGATGATGGTATATGTATGGCAATATAGCATTTTGACATTAATAAGAGTTCCTTATTTCTCGTGTCCAATGTAATTCCAGAATCATTCACAAGCCTTAATCGCATCACTGTACAACCCATCCTCACACTTCACAACATACACAGTCCCACTAGTACACTGAAAATACGACGTCTTCTCGTTCGGATTCGCATAAATACACTCAAGCTCAGACTCGCAACTCTGTCCCTTCTTCTCCCCCTCACAATCAAACCCATTCTCCTTCTCTCCATTTGCCGGCGGCAACACCTCCTTCGCAGTATCAAGAGTCTCCTGCACGATATTCTTGCAGGTCGAGTTTACGGGCCAGTCACATATCTTCTCGTTGTAGTTCCACTCCAAGCCAGATGGACAGGGTAGCACCGAGGATGTACCGTTCTTGCCGTTGGAGTTTACCCTACAGGCGATGAAACTGTCGCAGTTGTTGGGGTTCGGGTAGACACAGTCCTCGGGGTCTACACATTGGGTGACGACGATGTCTTCTTCGGGGCAGGTGATTGCGGCGGCTGAGAGGGACGTGATTGCTAGGCCGCTGATGAGATGGGGGAGGAGGTTAAGTGAAGAAGACATGTCTTATTTGAATGATAGATAAGTATGTAAGGCGTATGGAGCCTTATGCTGAAATGGAGGATGGAAAGGTAGTGGTTTGAGATGAAGACGGGCTAGAGTCCTAGCGTCCCCTATATAATCGTCTTCGAGAATTTGTGATGTTAACCGCCATTGAGAGTCAGATAGGATTATTGGCAAGTGAGCTCTTACTGATGAGCAAATGATCCAGATCCAGGGTTTGAATAATGACCGAACTCCTCCGGGACAGGCCTGTGGATTCAATGTCTTCAGCTTCGTGTCGATCATAATCATAATAAATCTGTGATTGCTCATATGCACATTTATGTGCTTAAAAAGGTAGAAGGGCAGGTAGCATTTAGTAAAAATTCGCAATGATTAATAAATGAATAGCAGTTGCCAACTTAAAACCAACTGATACCCCGATCATGGTAACAATGCGGCACCGGCGGACTCGTCCACTTTGGCGTGGCCTCATCATCTCCAAGCCTCACAACCGGTTTGAGCAATGTCTGCTTGCCCCATGTTCCCTCCTCAAAAGTCGTCATCAATGATGAATCCTCATCCAAATACCCCGGCAGTCCCTTCTTCCACCCCAAGACCACATTGACTAGAACATCCGAGACATACTGATCCGGCGTGATCTCCTTGAACCCGCACCGCTCAGAAGTCTCCTTCACCACCTCGGGAGGATACAATCCAACCTCCTTCTCAAGCGAGATCGTATCAGCAGCAACCAACGAGCTGGTAACACTATACGACCCGCCTTTCACAGCACGCTCTCTCAGCGCAATCATTCCCGCCAACGCACCAACCAACCCAGTCACCATATCAGAAATCGGCAGCGGTGGCAACACACTCTTCCCCTCCTCATATCCCTGCGACCTTCCCATGACATAAGAACTACCAGATGCAGCATCACCAATCTGCTGCCATCCGGGACGTTCGTGGAATGGGCCATTAGGTCCGTAGCAGTTCTCATCAATGTAGATTATGCCCTTGTTGCGCTTTGCGGCGATTTCGAGCATGTTTTTTAAACCTAGACCTTTGCGGTCGAGGGTGCCGGGGCGAAATCCTTGGACGAAGATGTCGGCTTCGGAGACAATGTCGAGAAGACGGGCTAGGTCGGAGGGTTTGGTAATGTCGAGGTCTATGGTGCGCTTCCCGGCATTGAGGGTGAGTTGTAGTACCTGTTGACAGCGTTAGCTACTAAAGACGTAAAAGGAATGAGAGAGGAGTATACGTTGAGATCTGCAAGTCTGCTGCAGTTCACTCTGATCACATCCGCTCCATAAGACGAAAGAAGGCACCCGCACTGCGGACCCGCGATAATGCGAACCATCTCTAGCACCTTCACACCCGCCAGTGGTCTCCGATCATCGCTGGGCAATGGCAAAGGCACAGGCGGCGTAGGGCTAGCATACGTCTCCTGGGAAACATTCACCAATGGATGCTCTGCCAACCTCTTCCCAAATTCAGTTTCTCTCCAACCTTTCGGCGAGTAGCAGATGCTTCCGCAGAGACCATGGCGTACGTTGTGCATCTCGAGCTCGTCGGGGCTCCATTGACGAATATGGTCTTGGATGTAGTCGTAGTACCCCTGGGCTGTGTCGAAGGTAACGTCGGGGTTGATACCCATTGTTCGAAGGGCCGTATTCGCGTCCAGTGAGCCGTGCAACTGGTACCAGACGCGGGGATCCTTTGTCTGGTAGATCGCCGTCACCCGACCCGAGATACCCTTACCAAAACCATGATCGAAGTCCCGTTCAAATAAACTGTCCATTTTCTTCGATGTCACTAGGGCCATGAGGTCAGACCCGTTAATGTACGTTGTGAACACAGACCCGAGCCAGATTCCCGCATGATCCGTATCGACTTTCACATTATTTTCCGTAACACGCTTCCCATCGCGTAGCTCGAGGAGTTCATTCGCGACCAGGCCGGCCATACCGTGCAAAGCGGCCGCCACAACTGGTGCTTTAATCGGTCCTGGGATCATATGGTCCGGACGACCTTCGAACTGCACAGTGTTCCATGCTGCTTTGTCCTTAGTGAAGCCAGGAGTTTTCAATGCGAGAAGTTCGAATACACGACGAGCATCTTTGGGGACTGGTAGCGGGTTCTTGTCGATGAAGGTTCCGGGGCCGTAGATCTCATCTCCGGAGACGGCTTCATAGACTTCTCGGTGCATATTGATATACAGAAGGCAGCTGATTGAAACTGATGAAGTTGGTTAAATAAATGAATCGCAACCTCTCTTATAGACTGGCAAAGTTATAGGTATGCTTAATTCGGAGAACGCATTTCCACGGCCCCGCGGGGTTTGTGCTCCGTGGCCCATGGGACCTCAACTCTATGTACCGACCATTCCGTATGAAACAGGGAGCCTCAGTCCCATGTATAAATAGCCGAAGGAACCTTGATTCAATTAGTCTGCATATAACCACTGCACAATCAATAGCCCAAATCAGACGATACAACATGTCGCAGTCTAGCACTAACACGCGCCCAGTAAGGGTAGCCAACTGCTCTGGTTATCATGGTAGGTGAACATATTATCCGTTTCTGGTTGTTTTTCAGGTGCTAAGAAGGTATAGGCGATCCAGCAGAAGAAATGTACTGGCAGGCGACATTTGGAGACGTCGATTTTATCACCGGTGATTATCTCGCAGGTAAATCTGCGCATGACGGAACTCGCATATGCGCAACTGGAGCTAATACAATGTGCAGAGGTCAACCTCGCAAACAACGCCCAGGCATGGAGGGATGGAAAACATCCCGGGTACGAAGAAACCGCCTGGGAAGGCCTCCAGCAAACGATCGAAGTCATTGCACGAAAGCGTATCCGAGTCGTGATCAATGGCGGTGCTCTTGATCCGAAGGCTCTTGCATTGAAAACCCAGACTTTGATCAACGATAAGGACCTTGGCCTTCGTGTTGCGTACTTATCCGGAGATGACCTTTACCCTCTTGTCGGACCTAATATGCCTTCCACCAAAGAAGAACTCCAGCATCTGGATTCCAACAACCCTTCTGCAATACCATCTGAACTCACCTATGCCTTTCTAAACAACCCTGATTCGAAGCCAGTCCCCATGGTTTCCGCACACGCATACCTAGGTGCTCGTGGTATTGTGGATGGTTTGCGCCGCGGAGCTGATATTGTCATTTGCGGCCGTGTAGCCGATGCTAGCCCGGTGATTGCCGCCGCTTGGTTCTGGCACAACTGGTCCGAAACAGACTATGACAGGCTTGCAGGGTCGCTTATTGCTGGACATTTGATTGAATGCTCCGCGTATGTGACTGGAGGCAACTTCGCGGGGTTTGACGGTTATCCGTTAGATAATCTTGTTGCTCCTGGTTTCCCGATTGTCGAGATTTCTGCGGACGGGAGCTGTGTTGTCACTAAGCACCCGAATACGCAGGGTATGGTTAATGTTGATACAGTCCGGTGTCAATTTCTGTATGAGCTGCAGGGAAATACATACCTGAACAGTGATGTGAGCGCCTATATTGGTGACATTGTCATCAAGGACGCAGGCAAAGACAGGTAAGTGTTTTTGTTTCTCGCTTTTGCTCCGGTGCTAACAGAAAGTAGAGTGCATGTATCCGGCATTCGAGGATCATCACCACCCCCAACCACAAAGCTTGCGGTCTTTTATCATGGAGGCTATGAAGCCCAAATCCTGCTGAACGCAACTGGGTATGCGACGGCGAAGAAGTGGGATCTCCTCGAGAAGCAGATTCGTCATTTTCTTCCGGATAACGTGAAGAACAACCTTGAGACACTAAAATTCCAACGGTAACATTGCATTCTACCCCTTTTATCATAGTCCTCAATCACTGAGACTGTATTAGGATCGGTGTCCCAGCACAGAACCCAGCGTCCCAAGCCGCGAGCACCACTTATCTTCGGATATTCATCGCCTCTCGCTCTAAGACCTCCGTGCTGGCAGTTTCGAAGGTCATGAGGGATATATCCTTGAAGCACTTCTCCGGTATGGTTTTGTCCAACCTCGTATATGGCCACAACTGACCAACAGGCTTCCATTCCTCGATGGATTTCCGCACCGCCATCCCCCGACCCTTCCTCGCCTACTACCCAGCCCTCATCAACCAATCCTCCATCCACGAAACAATCAGTCTTTTGAGCCACGAACCCGACATCAACACCATCCGATCCTACTCTACCGGCCATCCCCCTCAATACTCTTCTCCCCCCACCATCCGTGACAGTTACGACCCGGAAACCCCACAAGTCTTCAACGGTCCAACCAAGCCCCTCCTCCTAGGCGACATCGTCCTCGGCCGTTCTGGTGACAAAGGTGGAAACCTAAACGTCGGGTTCTTCCCCAGGAACCCGGCTCACTGGCCGTGGCTGCGGTCGTTTATGACGAGGGAGCGCATGCGAGAGCTTATTGGGGAGGACTGGGAGGAGGGGTTTTTCATTGAGAGGGTTGAGTTTGAGGGGATAAGGGCGGTGCATTTTGTTGTTTATGGAATTTTAGGGAGGGGGGTTAGTAGTTCGAGTCGGTTGGATGGGTTTGGGAAAGGGTTTGTGGATTATATTAGGGATAGAATTGTTGATGGGCCGGTGGGGTTGGTGTAGTTGTTTATCTGTTCCTATGTTAGTTTCCGTCGATTCATTGTATGGTTAAGGCTCTGATCATTTATAGTCTGGTTCAATTGGATTGACGATGGTGCTGAGATAGGAGGGGTATCCGCCAAGGTCAAACACCATCACATGACAGTTGCTGTGCTCTGCAAAAATCCTCGATAAATGTATACAGAGACTCATCGAGTCACGCCTTGGACGAATACAATACATTCAACAGAACTGGTATGAGAATTGAGACGAAATATGATCCATAACTAGAAACTTCTCATAAAATCGTTATCAAAAAGCATCTAGCATAATCATCGCGTAGGTATAAACTTCTGTGAAGCAGCTTGCTGTTCGCCGAAAGACTGCGGGAAAGCAGCTATACCAGCAATGATACCCACAGCCATGAAAGCCAAAGAGATGAATGACCAAATAATACCCCAGCATCGGGACGAACCACCGTATCTCTCAGCGAAGACGCTGGCGTCCGAAGTATTGACTTTCCGGATGATGAGATCGTCGCAGATATCCCAAACGCTATAGAGTGCTGACATGACGCCGATGAAGAGCTGCGGTTTATTAGCTACCCACTCTTCGCTAGCCAGGGGGGAGTGCTTACCACCACCCATCTCAATGCCTCTCCGTGCGCAATAAACCAACAAGCCACCAATAACCCAACTGCAAGCAACACAGTAACAATGGTTAACCAGTCCCTTCGTGCCCACCAAAGCGTGAGCAGAAAACAGACACCCAAGACGATACTAGCGACCTTGCTCGCGACAATATCGAAGCCGGCAAAGATCAACAGCGCACCGATGATCGAAGAACCAAGGTAGCCAGCAGGGAGTGTGACTGCAGACATTCCACCCTGCATGTGGGTGACTCCACCTTCGTGAGGATCGAGGGAGATGGACTTGACTCGGCCGCCGGTGCAACAGGCTGTTATGGCATGGCCGAATTCGTGGAAGGCGATGACCAGCATCTACTTTATTATTATTTCGCATGGTTAAATAGGGGGGTTGAGGGTGCTCACCTTAAAAGGCCACAAAGACCAGCGCACATACGGCAAGTTCCAAAGCAGTGCGATTGCGACGACATAGGCAGCCATCACCCCTAGAGTGACAGCCTGGGTATGGTTGACAGTGAGATCGCGCTTCAGCAAATGGTTTGCCAACGCTGTATCCGATAAAGGTGCCATATTGAGCCTCTTGTGTTCGTCAGAACCTTGAAGGAAAATAAAATAAGAAAATGGTAGGGCTGAAGTTTTACTTATTTATGGCAGGCAGTGGTTGGGCTACGCGGCCGTTTCGCATGCCGCTCTACTGCGCCTCAATAAACATGCCTGATTGGGGCTAGTGTGGTGGCTGGTGGACCTAAATTTAGCAATTAGGCGTTGTAGTGGAGAATCACGTGGTTTTATCTTGATAAGATGAGATGCTTTTCTGTCAATGTTAAAGGATTCTGCGCCTGGGGTAATTTGTGGGTATTGTCAAGGTTGGAAGGTTATTTGGACGTATTGAGTTGAGAAGCGTATCTTTTCTTATGATATTCAGGGGTATAACTGCCGTAATCTGGTTGAGTTCGCCGGTTCCAAGGGTCTGCAGCTTATTGAAGGTACCAAGCAACATCGCTTAAAATAAGATCTACTCGTCATTTAGAAGAGATGGGAAAAGTATAGCTGTAAAAAGACATTTATACGGGGAAACAATTTTATATTGGTTTTTGATAACCGCCAGGATATATATCTATAGAACAAACCCTCAGACTATGCAAGGTGAGATACATATTCCCGTATAATTACAATGATGCCCAGGATGCCGAGGAATTCCTATGTTGAGCTAGACAGGCCTCATTCAATCAAAAAGAGCTCACAGAAGTCTCACTTACGGACGCAAATAGGACCAAACCGGCCCAGTCATATGCCTGGCGCTTGCAATGATTCATTGAATTCCGCGACGATCCAGAAACAACAGACTGGCATTATGTAAAGTTAATCAACGGTGTCTCCCTGCAAGCAAATCATGACGACCTGTTCTTTCTCGTGATGCAGTCACTCTTCCGTTGTAAGATTGGTGTTGCCAGAGCACGAAGACAGCCTGCAGCTTAGAACTATCGTATGGACTGTCTATTAAAAACCATAAGATTATTCGCGTTGCCAAAAGCAGCCATGACAGTCTAACAAAGGGTCAAGAATGACAGAGATAATCAAATTACACGACATAAATAATTAAAAGTGGGATTGAAGACTGAATAACGAGTATAAGAGAACATCCAAATTATAGGCTCAACTCCGGGACAGTAGGACACCAGCCGAAATATCGCCGTCATTCGGCACCAACGCCATGACCATCGAACACGCCTGAGTAGGGCTATCATAAGACATGATGTCAGAATGGAGCCAAGCTATTCCGTAGCAAGCGCGCGCGTGAAAAACCGGAAACGGGGCGGACGTTGAAACGCAAGCAGAGACGGGTGCATTTCCGATAGAGTCCAGACTGCGGACAAAAGGACGAATGGAGCACTTCTGACTCGTCCACACCCCCGGATTGGACAGTGCTCGATACCTGTAATATGGGTGTGGTATGTGGTGCGTGATACAAATGATGCGAATCGATAGCTCCGACGTATGTACGTACGCAGAACTTGTACGACAAAGACGTACCTGCAAGAACTCTAGGGGGGAATGCCCGTTTCCGATATGACGACAGCATTAAGGCAAGAAAAGAAGAATTGACCCGAGCTAGTGTATACTCTGTACTTTAGTGCAGAGTGTATCGGAGCAGGTACTGGACTGGGTGAGTCAACAGCGTCCCCTGAATGATCTACGAACAAGCACTCGGTCCCATTGGTGGTTTTAGATCTTCGATAGTTTGGCTAGTTGACATAACAGTAACAGTAGAATCAACGGCGGGTGATCATATGTTCAAATTGATCCCGACGATTTGGTCTGACGTGTTTCTTCCGGCAAATGCATTGAGTACATGCATGCGCATATGTACTTGTGTCGAGTCAAGGCCAGAGACGTGCACAAGTTCTCTGTACTTGGATATATCCGATGAAGATGTGATAGATAGCCATTGTAGTCGTATTCTTCGTACAGAGTACTCGTAGACAATCCTATTCCGGACAGTGATATTAGAGCAGTTTGTTTCTTCTGACCAAATAGGATGTTTATTGTGGTTAACTGGTAATATTCGACGTATTACCATTCCGTACCAAGCTGCCCAATCACAAACCGTGCGGGATGCTCCGTCAGCGGACGGGCCATGGACCGGTATTACACACCCCTATTCTGTATTCTGTACCGACTCATATAAAAGCCCTATGGAGAAAGTTTCCCAGAAATTATTGACGCAGTCCCAGTAGAGAATTAGTGCTCGGGGAAGCGCATCCGATGGGTTTCAATTGGATTACGTCGAGGAGAGATCAATTTACAGTGAGGCTAATAAGAAGAAACCACTCGTGCGGGTTAAATGTTGGTAACTATGTATTGTAAATACCGTATAGGCGCTGAGCAAAGGGAATAGAGAAAATAGAGGCAGGGCTTATTAGGATTGAAGATAATTATTCTGAATATGAGACAGTCCTCGCCTTTTTTACCCGATTATACGTGTGTACCTACTTGTAGTGGCATGTGTAATACCGGTACCGTCATCCCACCTCCTGTTTTATTTCCCCCCTTCAGCGTTGACCACCTCTCACTCTCCACCACCAGCATCAGCACCAACACCAGCACCACCACTCTTTCTGACTTTCGTTTTTTCTCTTCATTATTCTTCTTTTCTTCTTCTAATCTCATTTCTTTTTCTTTCTTTCATTCTTCGCTCTTTTGTCTAACGTGATATTCCCCCGTCTGGCACTAGCTGTAGCGTGCCACCACTTCAACTCGCGATAGCCTGCCTCACTGACCTCCCCCCTAAAGTCGAACCCTGAACTGACTTCCCTTCTATCGAATCCTTTCACCCGCCCTCTCAGCTGATATTCTCCTTCGAGCAATGCTACAGACGCCTCTCTGAATTCGTCCAATCTGGTTGATCCACGAGGAGCGCTGAGGAAAGTCGGTCAGCTGCCGGTCAACAAAGGAACCGTTCTCTCTTCATCGCCGTGACACGGACACACCCACACCATCCACACTCTCACACACAGACCGATGGCAGACGCCCGGTAGATCTGCGCATTGATTGCCGCGGCTGATATTCTGCTTATGCGACCATTTTTCGACTCTTGATCACTTTCGCGCAGTTTACATCCTCCCCACCCGACTAATCCTCCTACTATAATCTCTAAGAAAGAGAACCACCATTGACAAAATGAAGTACACAAATGCTCGGGGCTTTTCGCCTAGCCCGGAACCCCCACCGCCTCTGTTCGTGCGGGCCATGTACGATTATGATGCAGACGACCACACCAGTCTTAGTTTCCAACGAGGCGATATTATTCAGGTTCTCAACCAACTCGAAACCGGCTGGTGGGACGGTGTCATCAATAACAAGGTTCGAGGCTGGTTTCCAAGCAATTACTGTTCCGTCGAAAGCGAGATGAGTGAGGTGAATGACGAGAACCCGCCCACCCACGAAGAAGTAGACATGAGCGCCACCGAATCGGGCGTGGAGGAGACCGACGAGGACCAAGATGAGGACGACGTTGACTCAACCGGAAACCCGCGCGATTCGCAGCCGATTTTGCCTATTGAGGGTGTTGTTGGTGGTGCTTCCAGCGAGCAGGAAGAGGCCGCCTTCTGGATTCCTCAGGCCACCCCCGATGGTCGTCTGTTCTACTTCAATACTCTCACTGGCTACAGTACCATGGAATTGCCATTTGAGAACCCTATGGTGACCGACGACTCTGGCCCGCGTGACCGCACGAACTTTTCTGTGCCAGACCAGTCCCGTCCGCCGCCAGAGATGATGGCGCGTGGTTTTGAGCGTGACGAGGATGATTATGATGGTTCTGCATCCGAAGCAGAAGGGGAGTCTTTGTTACTGGCCTCCCATGACTCCATGTCACGCAGACGTCGTTCTTTCATCGATGGTGTATCTCCTGCCACATCCATGGACTCGTTACATCCTCCGCCGGCCGTCAAGTCCACCAATGGTGCCAGTCGTAACAGCCCTCAAAATGGTTATGGTATCGCGACCTCTACAAACAACTTCTCTGGTCTGGACCAGTTCCCTCGACCCTCGATTTCGGTCGACACTCGACCGCGCTTTGCAGATGACGGGTATTCGCACCTCACCTGGCCGTTACTCGTTGATAACATGCGTCAAGCCATTGACGCCTATAGACAAGCACTTATCAATGGTGACCGCTCCGAGTACGTGAGACGAGCTGAAGATATCTCAGATCACCTTCGCATGCTGCTAGCCGCAGGATCGGACACCACGGATAACCACTCAGGGAACCCGTCAATCATCTCGACGAACAAGGCATTGTACCCTCACTTCCGGGATATGATGTCCAAATTCTCCAAACTGGTTCTTTCTTCGCACATTGCGGCGGCAGATTGGCCTGGTCCAGACTCCGCTAATAAATGTCTCCAGGAGGCTGACGGTGTCCTGCACGGTGTTTACGGCTATGTGGACGTTGCACGACAGCAGCGGGGAGACTCGATTAATCGCATCGTTCCTGGTTTTATGATGGGCACTAGCTCCGGCGGCTTCTGGCAGAACAACGGAGTTTCAGTGAGCGAGTTCGGTCCTACCTCCTTCTTGGACCAAGATGGCGGTGATGCTCGCGTGGAGCCATCTGTGACCCTTGACACGGCACACCTGGACCATATTGACATCCTCCGCCGGTCCTTTGTCGGCAGCATCCGTCGACTTGAGGAGCGATTGTCTCTCAACCAGAGGAAGGTCGTGACAGCCACAGAACAGCGATCTATCGGGGAATCAGTCGCTGCTGCTGCCATCAAGGTTGTGGAGCAATTCCGTCCCTGGCTCTCTGCAGTTGAGTCGATTAACTTGGCGCCCTTGGGCTCTAGCTATCAGAGCAATCCGCAGTTGGTCGACTTTAGCTTGCAGAAACAAAGAGTTTACGATGCGATTGCGGATTTTGTTCTGAGCTGCCAAGCTGTATCCGCACCGTTGGGTGATGAGTGGGCAGAGTTGCGCGGTGATTCGCTGGAGGACCGCTTGACTGCTGTCCGGAGCATTTCCAGGCAACTCGAAAACTTTGTTTCGCAGATTGGATTCTCGCTGT